TCGGTAAGTGGCGACGCACAGCAAGCCGGGCAGCAGCATCGCGTGTGGCCCACTGTGAGCGAACAGTGCTGTCAGCATCAGCAGGCGGGGCAGGAGAGGCACCAGACGTGAGATCGAAAAGGGAGAGACCGTCTGCCCTATCGCACTGTAGGAAAAGCTGTAAGTCATCGACCCAGACCTCAAAGTCAACAGCCCGACCCTCAGCATCAAAGGTAAGGACACTGGGGGTAGCCATGACAGCAGCAGTCTAGTGGTGAGAGCGGCAGGCTAGAGGTAGTGCAGTGGCAGAGACGCTGCTCGGGAAAGCTCTCACCAGTCCGGGTGGGGAGGGCCGGGGCGTGCCGGCAGGAACAGGGCCACAGCTGCGGCAGCAGCGGCTCGGTGGCTCAGTAGCGGCTCGGCGGCGGCTCTGCGGCTGCTCGGCGGCGGCTCGGCGGCTCGGTGGCGGCTCGGCGGTTCGACGGCGGCTCGGCAGCGGCTTGGCGGCTCGGCGGCGGCTCGGCGGCTCGGCGGCGGCTCGGCGGCTCGGTGGCGGCTCGGCGGCTCGGTGGCTCGGCTGCAGCGACGGCGGCGGCAGGGCCGGGGAGAGGGCCGCACAGAGCGGCGAAGGGGCCGCTGTAGGGCGGCGACAGGGCCGCGAGAGGGCGGCGGTGGGGCCGCCCTACAGTTCGACATCAACACCACCGACGGACGTTCCACTTGCGACGAAGACGAACTCCCAGTCATTGTTGTCGCATGTCGCCACATGCGCGCGCCGGTTGTCGTCACTTGAAGACGGCCTCCAATTTGCCGGTTTAACGGGACAATCGCGCCACCAATGTCCCGTCTTCTTGCAAAAACGACAAGCACCCTCTCGCGCCCGAGCTCGATTGGCGTTGGCTGATCCTCCTCGTGATGAGCTTGAGGCCACCGCGCCCCCGTTCGAACTCCCGCGGTTGTTGCCGTCGTTGCGCCGCTTGAAGTGACCCGTCCCTTTCGCCTTCGCATCGCGGGAGAAGTGTGCCGCGCCGATTGCATCGCCATGCAACTTCGCGCGCCTCGCCTCTTCGTTGATGAGGCGTGCCACCACTGTCAGAATCAGCAGGCAGAAAGAGAAATGAAGGAAGAGGGATTGCACTAGCAACAGTAGGCATACATATAGGAAACCCTAATTGGGTTGTACTCGCTATAGAGTACCCCACTGCAGGCTAGACAATGATAACATTCTGACACACCCCCATAGTCAAAGTGGGGTATAATCAGCAGAGCAAGCAGTCATAGAGCAAGTTCACAAGGGCAAGCAAAGCTAGAGACATCCACAACGGGCACGTGAGGAGGAGGAGGCTGGACTGTGAGAGGAGAGGAGATGGGAGGCGACGGCTGAAGCTGAAGACACACGGGCAACAGGAGCGGCTGGCACAGTGGCTACCGGGACAGCGCCCTGGACTATAGGGAGTAACTGGCTCTGCGGCGCGGCAGAAGCAACGGACCCACGGGCGACAGGCGCAGCAGGCTCTCTGGGCTACCGAGAGCAAGACAGGCTCCGGACTACTGGCGCTGCAGGCGAGACGACGGCAGCCTCCACGCAACTTCCCCCAACTGTCCCACCCCTCTTTCACACACCCCTTGCTGTACCCCTAGCTTCCCTCCCACATCACCCCCCTTAAACCCTAAACCCACGGCTCCCACACACCCACCCCCCTCAGCGGCAGCTGCAGCAGTGGGAGACGGAGGAGGAGGAGGAGCTGCAGGTTACCCACACCGGTCACCCCCATGCCCGCCACCCCCAAACCCTAACGCAGGTAGGAGCGCGGGAAGTAGCAGGGGCGGGTCACGGAGGGAAAGGGAGGCGGCAGGGGGTCTCCTGGGCGCCACAAAGGAGCAGGGCGCGGGCCCCCCGAGGGCGCCACGGCGGGTGACGGGAGGGGGGCCGCGCACGGGCCCACGAGGGCGGCTCGACGGGCGACGGGAGGGGCCGCGCGCGGGCCCCCAAGGCGCCGCGACGAGGCGACGGGAGGGGCCGGCGCGCGGGCCCCCAAGGCGCCGCGACGAGGCGACGGGAGGGGCCGGCGCGCGGGCCCCCAAGGCGCCGCGACGAGGCGACGGGAGGGGCCGGCGCTCGGGCCCCCAAGGCGCCGCGACGAGGCGACGGGAGGGGCCGGCGCGCGGGCCCCCAAGGCGCCGCGACGAGGCGACGGGAGGGGCCGGCACGTGGGCCCCCAAGGCGCCGCGACGAGGTGACGGGAGGGGCCAGCGCGCGGGCCCCCAGGGCGCCGCGACGAGCAGAAAACCGCCGCGCGCCTCGGGGCGCACGGCGGGCAGAAAACCGCCGCACGCCCCGAGCGCACGGCGGGATGAAAAAACGCCGCGCGCTCCGAGTGCGCGGCAGTAAGAAAGGGTCGCGCGCCCGGGGCGCGCGACAGCAGTAGAGCAGCGGAAGCATCGGGTGGGGCCCACCCACAGGATCGACCCAGGAGGGTCGACCTGCTCTGATAGCATGTCAGAATCAGCAGGCAGAAAGAGAAATGAAGGAAGAGGGATTGCACTAGCAGCAGTAGGCATACATATAGGAAACCCTAATTGGGTTGTACTCGCTATAGAGTACCCCACTGCAGGCTAGACAATGATAACATTCTGACAACCACTTGCTCTTTCTTCCATGTATCTTGCGTCACATCCAACATCGTGATCATCGTTGACCATGCTTCACCGAGGCCCGCGAGGAGCGTCATGATCCAATTGTTGTCCTCCACGCTCGCATCGAGTTCCACCAAGCGCTCGCCAAGCTCCTCCACGCGGTTGACGTACGCGCGCATTGACTCGCCGTCCTTCATCCGCACCGTGAAGAAGTCGAGGCACGCTTGAAGCTTGCTATGAAGCGACTTGGAGACGTGCTCTCCTTCGAGTCGCTTCCACGCTTCACGAGTCGCGCCTTCACGGTCGATGCAAGGGCTCACGATAGGAACAATTTGGAGACTTAACTTGGAGACAAGAAAGGCGAATGCCCTCTTGTCCTTTCGCACCCACGCTTCCTGCTCCGCCGTTGAAGCGCCCGAAGTGGGCTTCGATGCCGACCCATCGAAGAAGCTCCACAAGTCGCGCTCCATCATGTAGACCTTGAGCTTGAAGCGCCACGAGGAGAAATGCTCCCCGTTGAAGATTGGCACCGCGCTCAAGTCGACAACGTGCGGCATTGTCGAGAAGTCCGCTGGGAGGGAAGGGGCCGTTGTCGCATTCGTCGTCGACGAAGTATCGGAGGAACCCATGGTGTAGCAACGATTGAGCGAACACTCCTACCCTAGCTCTGATACCATGAAAGAATCCGCCTCTGGTTCAACTGACGCCACAGAATCAACTTGGCGTGTTAGAGGCAGAGCCTAGGATCAATACGACGGGCCTGAAGCAAGGAATCCATGACACTTTGAATCACAGAAATAGCCCAAGAATTGAGATAGATTTTGCTTAAAATGCAAAGATGGGTACAAGCTACGAGTTAAGGATAACTCTCTGGTTTTGCTCTCTGTTTTTATAGCTAAAACATGCAAGCAAATTTGTAACATCGAACCGCGCGCGACTCGACGGAAATTCGGACTTGGGATTGCGTCCAATTTCCGCGACGTCTGCGTTCATATTTTCAGACTTTGCCGGGTTCATTTCAACGCGCCAAAAGCGTGTGTTACACGAAATTGTAGCGAGTGTAGCGAGATGTTCAAAACATTCGCTACCACTCTCGCTATTTTCGTGAGTGTTTGTGGGGCTGCCAAGTGTCGACCCCACAAGGATTCGGTCCCAACCGGGGGCGAACTCGGTTGAGTGTTGACGCGGGCAATCTGCCGTCACCCCTCATTCCGAGAAAGAACTCCCCCTTGGTCCGAGTCAAGGTAGGTCTTCGCGTGGGGGGCAATCCCGTCCCCCACACTTCCATCAATGAGCTGAACTTCAGAGGGACGAGGTTCCATCAATGAGCTGAACTTCAGAGGGACGAGGTTCCATCAATGAGCTGAACTTCAGAGGGACGAGAGGAATGAGGGGGATGAGCGGAATGAGAGTGATGAGCGGAATGAGAGGGATGAGTGGAATGAGAGTGATGAGCGGAACGAGAGTGATAAACGGAATGAGAGGCGCGGACAATACGATGTGACGAAATCAAAGGAACGGATTGACAGGAACGAAACGAATTGAAAGAAAATCGACGAATGGAAAGACAGGAACGGAACGAGAGGCACGCAGAGAGAGGAGCGGATTTCTAGGAACGGGATGATAGGAAATGAAATGAGGTAGGAATGATTGGAACGGAACGAGGGATGGAACGATGGACGGAATGAGAGTGACAGGTGCTTGGCATTCAGATCTATGGCTTCCCTGTCCGCTTCCTGACTTGGGTCTAGCACAGGGAAAGGCGTGTTCAAATCAAACACTGTTCAGGTAACCAGGTGTATTGAGATGTGTTTGCCTACTGTGTTCATTCTCGCCAGGCGTGGGTGGTAACCGAAGTAACAAAACCCTCAATCTCGAACGAGATTGGAGAGAGTGCGATAGACTGGTAACTCGGTTTTCCAGCTGGCTTGTGTCTCGTTCCTCTCGTCACCCAATCTGTTTCCGCTTCTATCTCAAACTCGGCTTTCGAGCATTCGCAGCACTCGCAACCGTCCCGTGTTCCACTGCTACAGAATAATCCCAAAGCGTCCGAAAGACCCAGAACCCCCAGTCTTCGTCCGTCTCAAGGGGAAAACCACCCAGAGATTTTCACATTTTCTCAAGTTTTCTGGAGTTTTCTGGTTTGCGCCTCATTTAGGAGATTCGTCCGTCCCATCCTGTCAGTCAGTCATCTGCTGCTCCCGCTGCGCCTTCCGTCTGTCGCAGCCACAACCACATTCACGCGCAACAGTGTCGTGTCCGATCCAAAGCGTCTTCGCTGCGAGTAACCCTGTTCTTGGTTGCAAGACGCGGCGGCCGATTCGTAATCTTAATCAGGAGGCGCATCGAACAGCGCTCGCATCGTGTAACTGGGACGACGCACAATGTCGGTCTTAATGCGTTTCTGGGGTGAGAATCAGCATTCAACCGTTTGAGACGAGATCAGGTCAAGAGCGGCATTGTAGCAGGGCGAGCTATCTGAGTCGTGTGCGTTTACGATAAGGTCGTATTGTGGCAGGTTCCGACGCCACGGTATGAGGTGACTTTAGAGTCGACTCAAAAGTCACCTAGCAGGTTCCGACGCCACAATATGCGTTTTGCGACGTCTCAAAATGCGTTGCGTTCACGCTGAACAGCTTCCGACTCCACGATCTGATAAGGTCGTTTGTTTTCTGAATTTCTCGGAAACGACCTGCAAAAGAACTGGTTTCGACGAGACAGACTGGACTGGATCATCAACGGTCTTCGTCTTCATCGGCGCGTGACAGAGAGTGAACCCTGGTGATCCGCCCTCATCACCCTTCTCCCCCTGCTCTCCCCCCTTTATGGAAACGCCACCAGGCGGGGAGGTGAAGGCGGGTGAGACGGTGGGGGTGGATGCAAGGCATGAAGTTTCATCCCTTAATTCCCCACTCATCACCCATCTTCCCCTATCCCTCCCCCTTGTTTAAACCCCACCCACCAGGCGTGGAGGTGAAGGCGGGAGAGACGGTGGAGGTGCAGTGGACTAACGAGTTTCTAGCCCTTTGATTTTTCCCCCACTCCACACCCATTTTTCCCTACCCCTCCCCCTTGTTTAAACCCCACCCACCAGGCGTGGAGGTGAAGGCGGGCGAGACGGTGGGGGTGGACCCTCGGGATATTGCAGACTACGTTCACATCACCCAGGTGGGTACTGTAGCGCGCAGTGACTGTAGCGCGCAGTTACTGTAGCGCGCAGTTACTGTAGCACGTCGGTGGAGGTGGACCCTCGTGATATTGCGGATTATGTTCACATCACTCAGGCCCAGAGCCCAGAGTTGGCCCAGAGCCCCAAGAGTTGAGATACAGACGTGCGCGTGCTGGTGGTGTTGCAACCGAAAGCGGATGCGGCTTCTGCGTAGACTGTAACGCAAAACCCTGAACCCCGAGCTCATGTTGTCACAAGTTGGAAAAAAAACCCTTTGCGTTAGCAAACCCCTGTTTGTGGATAGAGTTACAATAGGGATATGTCAACCACTGTTTCCTCTCCACTTTCACCCTCTTTTTCACCTATCCTCCCCTCCCCTCCCCTCCCGCCTCTTCTATTCTCCCTTGCGCTCTCTCCCATCCCATCCCCACTGATTCCTTCTCCTCTCCCCTCCCGCAGGTCGCTCTAGGCCCCTCCCCCAAGGCAGGCGAGCGAGTAGCCATCACACTCACCACCGCCCCACCTGCTGATAGTGACAGCGAGGAGGAGGAGGATGAGCAGATGGGGAACGGTGATGAGAAGAACAAGGGTAGTGCAGAGGGGTACAGTGCGGTGGTGGCGGTGCTGCAAGGGGGGGAGAAGGACCAGGCGAGAGTGCAGTTGGTGTTGGAACGGCCGTTCTCTTTGGCCCATGGCGGCACAGGGAGTGTGTTCTTGAGCGGATACAAGACCATGCAGGAATACCCGGATGGGGGAGGTAAGAAAAGTGAAGATCTTGTGCTTCCTTGTCATCTGTCCGTAAGCCAGTGTCTGGTACTCGTGTGAAATGAGATTGGTTTTGAGACATCTCAAGAGGGTGCTTCACTCAAATTCACGCACAGTCTGTCTGCGGGTCAGTGTCTGGTACTCGCGTGTGGGCTGCTTGGGTTCTGGCTCATGGGGGCACCACGGGGAGTGTGTTCCTGAGGGGGTTCAAGGAGTTTTTGAGAATTCTCAAAAACTCCCTGCCCTGCAACGTGTGGGCTGCTTGGGTTCTGGCTCATGGCGGCACAGGGAGTGTGTTTCTGAGGGGGTACAAGGCTATGCAGGAGTATCCGGATGGGGGAGGTAAGACACAGGCCTAAGACCCCATGGACAGCCTATAGGGAAGGGAAGGGAGGTGGGGTGGGTTGGGGTTAAGGGACCAGGCGAGGGTGCAGTTGGTTTTGGAACGGTCGTTTTCCCTGGCCCATGGCGGCACAGGGAGTGTGTTTCTGAGCGGGTACAAGATGATGCAGGGGAGTATCCGGATGGGGGAGGTAAGACACAGGCCTAAGACCCCATAGACCGCCTACCGGGAAGGGAAGGGATGGGGGTTAGGGGGGCGAAGAACCGGGTGGTGAGGTGGTGCAGTTGGTGAAGGGACGGCCGTTCAAGCTCGCACACGGTTTGACATGCATTCTGGAACCTCTATGGGGATGGGATGGGATGGGATGGGATGGGGGTTAGGGGGCGAAGAGCCAGGTGGTGGGGTGCAGTTGTTGTGAGAACGGCCATTTTCTGAAGCTTTTATGGTGCTTTTTGTTTTTATTTGTTGGTTTTGTTTTGTTTGTTGTTGTTTTTTTAGGAAGTTATTTGCTTTCTTTTTATCGTTTCAACTTCCTTTCCTGGGGTTGCAGAGGCCGATGAGGACCCATTTGCTGATATTGAAGAGGATGAGGAAGAGGAGGAAGAGGAAGAGGAGGAGGATGAGGAGGCGATTGAGAGGGAGGCGGCAAAGGAGATAGCAGCGCTGCAGGCGGAGCTAGCCACCAAAAGTGAGTTGAGTTGAGCTGCATGTAAAAACAAACGCAGACAGCAATGCCGAATGCAGCGCACAACAAGGGAGAACTTGGGCAGCGCTGCAGGCAGAGCTAGCCACAAAGAGTGAGTCGCGTTCATTTGCAAAAGAGATCGCATTGCAGTGAGCAGCAGCGCTGCACAGTAGCAATGCAGATTGCAGCGTTTACAGCAACAGCAGCAGCAGCAGCACGGTCGCTCCTGCCCTCGCCTCCTCATAACACCTCCCTCACCTCCTCTTCCGCATATTTTTTATTTCCCTATTTTAGAAGCAAAGAAGGCCTAGAACGTAGCAGCACAATGCTGGCACAGCTCACAGCAGCAGCAGCAGCAGCAGCAGCAGCAGCAGCAGCAGCAGCAGCAGCAGCAGCAGCAGCAGCAGCAGCAGCAGCAGCAGCAGCAGCAGCAGCAGCAGCAGCAGCAGCAGCAGCAGAAGCAAGAGCAGCAGCAGCAGAAGCAGCAGCAAGAGCAGCACTGTCTCTCGTGCCCCCGCCTCCTCATAACGCCTGCATCCCGTTGCTCCTACCCTCACCTCTTCCCCTACCCCCCCCCCCCCCCCTTCCCGCCCCTTTTTCTTTTGCCGATTGCAGAAGCGAAGAAGGCTCAGAAGGCAGCAGCAGTGCTGGCACAGCTCACAGCAGCACAAGAAGAGAAGAAGAAGGCTGAGAGAGAGGCAGGCGAAGGGAGCAAGGGAGGAGTAGGGGCGAAAGGCGGAGAAGGGGCGAAGGCAGGGAGTGCGAATGGTGTGGATGGGAAGAGGAAAGCAGGGGAGATTGAGGGCAGCCAGAAGGAGGCGGGTCAGGGGGGGCAGGGGACGCCTGGGGGAGAGGCAGGTGAGGAGAAGGGGAAGAGGCGAAAGGGGAAGAAGGGGAAGGAAGAGGGGACTCCGGGCAAGGAAGATAAGGCACAGGTGAGCTGCGTGCTTGGGATGCCATGTGGACAGGGGGGACAGACAGGGGATTCCGGGGGGAGAGGCAGGGGAAGGTGGTGAAACGGGGGAAGAAGGGGAAGGAGGAGGGCACTCCGGGCAAGGAAGATAAGGAATGCTACGTGAATGCGGTGTGATATGAAAAGGGTGTCATATGAATGGTCAATGTACCCCCCCCCCCCCCCCCCATTGCTTTTCCCTGTGCTGTCTCCCTTTCCCTTTCCCGTTGCATTCCCGAACCCCTCAGCCCACCACGCCAGCAACCACGACTGTCCCCCGTGCCCCGGCACTCACACCAGCCTAGCCAGTGCCCAACCCCCCCACTCCCGGCGCACCCTTTCCCAAGGCGCCTCGGCTCTCCTGCTCCTTATTCTATCCCTCTTTCTATTTCATTCTTCCCTCCCCCTTGTCTTCCCCCTCCCCTCCCCACCCCCACTCCCACCCTCCTCCCCCTTCCAGCCCACCACGCCAGCAACCACGCCTGTCCCCCGTGCCCCGGCACCCACACCAGCCAAGCCAGTGCCCAACCTCATCCCTTTTCTCTGTCCTGCCTCCGCTTCCCGTTCCCATCCCACCTGCCACCCCCCCCCCCAGCCCACCACGCCAGCAACCACGCCTGTCCCCCGTGCGCCCGCCCCAACACCAGCCAAGCCAGTGCCAACCCCCCCCACTCCCATTGTAGTAATGACTCCTGTCTTCCTCCCCTCTCTTGTTTCCCTCCCTCATCCCCTCCACATCCCCCCCACCCCCCCGCCCCCATCTCCCGTCCCACAGCCCACCACACCGGCAACCACCCCAGTGCCACGTGCCCCGGCTCCCACACCAGCCAAGCCAGTGCCAAACCCCCTCTTTTTTCCCTGTCCTGCCTCCCCTTCCCCGTTCCCATCCCCGCTCCCCTCCTCCCACAGCCCACCACACCGGCAACCACCCCAGTGCCACGTGCCCCGGCACCCACACCAGCCAAGCCAGTGCCCAACCCGCCCACTCCCGGCGCCACACTAGCCAACGCCGCCTCTGCTCTCGCCAACGCTGCTCCTGCCGCCTCCGCTCTGCTCTTTTGCTCTCCATTGTAGTAATGACTCCTGTCTTCCTCCCCTCTTTCTTGTTCCCCCCCCCCCACCCCCCACCCCCATCTCCCATCCCCCAGCCCACGACACCAGCAACCACGCCTGTCCCCCGCGCCCCGGCACCAACCCCAGCAAAGCCAGTGCCCAACCCCCCCACTCCCGGCGCCACACTAGCCAAAGCCGCCTCTGCTCTCGCCAAAGCAGCCCCTGCTGCCTCCCCTGCTAAAGCATCCACTCCTGCGAAAGCAGCTAAGGGAGCAAAGGCAGCAGGGACTCCTGCTAAAGAGGGTTCCACGCCGGCTAAAGCAGCCACAGCAGCCAAGGCAGCAACTCCTGAAGGCGGAATTGTGTGCGGAGCGTGCAACAAGTGAGTGTCTCTTTCTGTACTTCTCATCCAGTTGCTAGTTTGGTGGTTTTTAAGAATTCTCAAAAGTGGCTCATGCTGACCCACATGGCATGCTGAGTCCTGTTTTGAGGCCCCTCATTCATTCTTTTTCTTTTTTGGGGGGGGGGAGAGGAGGGGGGGGGTTCAAAACTTGGCTTGTTCATTCTGACCCACGTGACATGCTGAACTCAATGTGTTTCATCCTCCCTCCCTCCCACCCACCCTCACCCCCTCCCTTACACCCTCCCTCCCTCTCGCTCGCCCTTTTCCCCTCCCCACTCCACTGTCCCCCGTTCACTGTTGTGCCCACTCAGAAAATTCAAGTCCGAAGAGGGCCTGAAGCAGCACGCACAGACCAAGCACGCTGCCTCATAACTGCTTGTTTTGTTTTTTTCTGTCTGGTCGAATCTCTTGGGCGAAACCGATGATTCGAGATGGGATTGTGCCTCAGTTAGGAGGCAGAAGATAAAAGGCTGGATAGAGCCCAGGAGAGCAAGCTCATAGCATTGTTTCTGCACATGAAAGGAAGTGGAAGTTGCCATTTAAGTTTAGGCACTGGTGGAAAAGCTAGTGCTGGGCAAACCTGTGTTGTGGTTTGATAACAATGCGCAACATGTTCATGTGGAACAACCATGCGGAATCAAAGTATCAAGTTTCCACTACTCCAGAACGGCCGTTTTTTATATTGCTTGGAAAGTGGTTTTCTGGAGAAAAATGAATCAGTCGGCTGAACTTTTCAAATTTTACCTTCTGGTATTTGGATTTATATCAAAAGTGTACACTTGATTGTCGTAACACAGATTTTGAACCCGTTCGCCCTGGTTCCGTAAATCGGCACAACTTATAACGACACGCTTGCTCTAGATAGCTTGGGCTGAAACATCAGGAGTTCGTTTCTCGCAGCGCGATTAGCAGCAGAGCAGGGTAATCATCAGCAGCCACAGCGCGAGCGTGTCGCGATGAAGGTTCGCGCGTCGGTGAAGCGGCTGTGCGAAGCGTGCCGCGTGGTGCGGCGGCGCGGGCGGGTGTACGTGGTGTGCGCGACAAACCCCAAGCACAAGCAGCGGCAGGGGTTTCACACCGAGACCGTGGACGGGTAAGCCCACGGTGCAGTGCGTTGCAGCGCAGTAAGCTTGCGGTGCGTTGCGGCTTGGGTCCGATCCCGTGCCGTGCTGTGCCGAGCAGGACGATCCGATCGGCTAGCTGGTATCGTTACCTTCCGCCGGATAAGGCCGGCCGCTCAGCCGGCGGCAGGGACGGTCAGCAGTCAGGCCGCCTGGTGGTTTCGCTCTGACAATGGAAATTCGCATCGGCGGGAATGAGTAGGCAGACAGAAGAGAGCACGAGCAATTCAGTGTGATACTGTCTTTTCTCAAAGATCTCGCAACATGAGTTGGCATACCCATTAGGTGCGTGTTGAGAGCTTGTAGCCTGAGAGGCCGACACGTGGCATGCTTTCTCTATTCACCATCTGACAACATGAGACACGTGTCATGCTTCTTTTAGTCGCCTGGTTCCCCTTTGTTTGCTTGACTGCTTTGTGCCATTCCCCCTCTCCCTCGTTCCCACCCTCTCTCTCACCCTCGTTCTCGCAGGGTGTTTTTGAGAATTCTAAAAAACAACCTGCTTTGTGCCATTCTCTCACCCTCGTTCTCGCTCCCCCGTTCTCTCCCCCTCGTCTATTCGCGCTCGCTTCCTTGCTCCAGTTTCCCGAGCCCGCTTCCTGTCTTTCTATCCTCGTTCTGTTTCCCTAACCACTCCCCCACTCCCGCCCCATCCTTGCTCCCTCTCCCCCTTTCCCGCCCCTCTCCTGCCCCCACCCCCACTTCCCGTTCCCCTCTCCTCACCTTTCTCAGCCCCTCTCTCTCCTTCCCCCGCCCCCATTCGTTTCTTTTCCCCTTTCTCCCGTTCCCCCTCCTCTCATTGCTCCACCGCCACCACAACCATCTCCCCTTAACACCTCGATCCAGCCTCCGTGTGTCCCCTCCTCCCCCCTCCCCTCCACCAGCCCGTACACTTGTGTCTCCCGCCCAACACGCCCAACAGCTCATCACAGCCCTCCGCATCCCATTGCACCCACCACCACCACATGACTTCTGAGTCAACGCACATTCACCTCTTATTGAACCCTTCTTCCGCCCCTCCTCCCCTCCACCCGCCCTTACACTTCTGCCTCCCATCCACCAGCTCATCACAGCCCCCAGTATTCCACTGCACCCACCACCACAACATGACTTCTTAGTCTACTCTGATTTTGAGGCGCCTCATAAGTAGACTAAGTAGTCATTTTGATGACTTCTGAGTCGACTCAAATACGCCCATGCTGAACCCCTCTCCCCCCTTTGAGTCGACTCAAAAGTCACCTCGCCTCATAAGTAGTCTGAGTCGACTCAAATTCGCCAATGCGGAACCCCTCTCCCCCCTCCCCTTCCCTCTTCTGTCCCTCTGCGACCAGCACGTCACTGCCATCAGCACCGCACTGCACCCACCACCACCACCACCACCACCACCATCTCCCCTTAACACCCCGCACTCTGTTCCTCCCCTCCCCTCCCCCCACCCTCCTTTCCTCTTCTGTCCCCCCTCCACCAGGTCATCGCAGCTATCAGCATTTGACTGCACCCACCACCACAACATGACAAGAAACGCCGCCCTCGTGTCGAGCCGCGCATTCTCTCTCTTCCCCCGCATTATTCCCACACACTCCCACTCCCTGCCCTCCACGTTCGCACCATCACCATCGCCGTCCACAGCAGCAGTTACAGAAATAGGGTTTGCTGGTTACCGGTTATCTGCTCGACAAATTGCCGCAAATATACTAGGCTTCAATAGTGCTTGATTAGGTCAGAGACTGATAAAGTATTGACAAAATGCCACTGGTACCAGACAGTGCTACCATAAGTACCTCATAAGCCTGTTTGCATATTACTGTCTGCATTGCTTGTAACGAATGCTTGCAATACAAGAGCATAGCATCCCACAGCCCACCCCATCGAGGTGACTTTTGAGTCGACTCAAAAGTCACCTCATTTTTGAGTCGACTCAAAAGTCAATGCTTGCAATACAAGAGCATAGCATCCCACAGCCCACCCCATCGGCCCACCGTTTTGCACAGCAACCTATCCTTTACCAGTCATAGTATCAATTGTCTCCTGCCCTTGAGCCATCAGTTGTGGATGGATGAAGAATCCACCAAAGAGGCACGGCTGCAGGGGAAGAGGGAGGGAGGGAGATGTGTGAAGGAAATAGAAACAAGAGAATCCTGTCCTTGAGCCATCAGTTGTGGATGGATGAAGAATCTTCCGGAAGGGCATGGCTGGAGGGACCATAAGAGCGAGAGGGAGGGACGGGAGTCACAGGACGGCATGGGAATAGCTTTGTCGTGCAAAGCAAACCCTCATGATTCATGAACAAGCATGGTTGTGGAGGGGGAACGGCGTGAAAGCTGCTTGGGTACGAGGAGATCGAACAAGTGGAAACGATTAGTCTCGTTCAAAGCAAACCCCCATCAACAAGTACGGCTGCAGAGCGAGAGGAGAGGCGAATGTGACGGTTGGAAAACTTCCCTTAAAGCAAAGCAAAACCCTTCAAGTACAGTAAACAAGTATGGCTGCAGGGTAAGAGATGATATGGGATGGGACGGGGGGGGGGGGGGGGGGGGGGTGTGGGATGGGATGGGTGCATGAGATGGGATGGGCGAGAAAGAAACGTGGAGATGCCGCTAGGGGAGATCGCACGGCAGGAGAATGCAAGGGTGCAGGGAGGGGAGACGGCGTGAATGAGCCTTTTCATCTACGTTCTGCTTTGCTCACCAGTGTTCTCAACGCTCTCAAAAACACCCAGTGCTCACCAGGGGCCATCCTGACCGTCGGTGCAGCACGAGTGTGTGGCGCTGATTGCGCACGGCAGCAGACTGAGGGTACAGCCTCTGCCTCTGCGACTCCCTCCCTGCCTGGCCAGGACCCAGGCCCACTGCTCTGAGGAGCACTCCCCACACTGCGGGAACAGCCTCTGTCTCTTTCCTTCTCACATGCTACAAACCTTATCAGAGACTCACCAGAGGCCATCCGGACCGTCGGTGCAGCACGAGTGTGCGGCGCTGATTGCGCACGGCAGCAGACTGCTTTCCGGAGCACTCAGCGCACTGCGGGTACAGCCGCTGCCTCTGCGACTCACTCACTGCCTGGCCAGGACCCAGGCCCACTGCTCTGAGGAGCACTCCTCACACTGCGGGAACAACCTCTATCTCTTTCCTTCTCACCTGCTACGTACCTTGTCAGAGACTCACCAGAGGCCATCCTGACCGTCGGTGCAGCACGAGCGTACGGCGCTGATTGCGCACGGCAGCAGACTGCTTTCCGGAGCACTCAGCACACTGCGGGTACAGCCGCTGCCTCTGCGACTCCCTCACTCCATGCCCTGCCTGACCAGGACCCAGCCCAAGCCATCCGAAAACCCCTTCCTTAGCAGCAGCCCCTGAACTCCCTTCCTCAGCACCCTGCTTTGCCCCTTCTGTCCCTCGTTTTACCCTTCCTCCCGCCCCATCCTCCACCTTCCCCTCGCCGACGCCTGGATTTCCAGTGTCTGTTCCTGGCCTCCTTGTGCTTCCCTGGCGCCTCAAACTGGGGGAGCGTTGAACACTAGGTGCTCGATGCTTCATAGTGGGAGATCTAGAGAGGCGGGAGGAAGACGAAGTGGAAGCGGACGAAACCCGGGGCATGCGCCCAGACTTGGCAGCAGGCTTGGCCCGAGCCTGTTTGGCATGGGCTGCGGTGTTTGCTCCTCCGCCTGCTGCTGCTCCTGCTCCTTCGACTGATGTGGAAGGACGGAACATTCGCAGTAAGCCGAGGGGCATAATCCTGGCAGGCCAGGATGTAGGGTTCTTAGAAGCTTCCAAGGCAGGAGTGGCTGCTGTGGTTGCCGTGCTTGCAGTGGTTGTGATGGTTGCAGTTGCGGCAGTGGTAGCAGTGGTAGTAGGAGCAGATGTGGAGGAGGTAGGTGGAGAGTTGGTCTGCTTGGAGCGCTTGAGCCATCTGGCCCCATGCACGTCCCTGTTGGTGGGGATGTGGTCTGCTATGCTGTGATGGGATGGGTGAGAGAGGATAGGATAGAGAAAGAAGGTGGGAAGGAAGAGTGGTAGCTAGCTGGTGATTGGATAGGCATGGGGGTGTGACGCTTGAACCGCTTGAACTCTTCACCGGTTGCGTGAACACCCAACCGAAAACGTCCCTACGTATTTTTTCCCCTGGCAAGAGCAGCACGCAAGCACTCACCAGTCGCCCCGCCTTGTCCCGCAGTGACGGCAGCCGAACGGGTGAAGCAAATGTTCAATCATGCCCAAACAACCCCTCCTCCTTCCACCCTCCCCCCTCACACATTCCTCCCCGATTTCCCTAGCAAGAGCAGCAACAGACACTCACCATTCTCCCCGCCTTGTGCCGCAGTGGTGGCAGCCGTAGCGATGGAAGAGGTCTTTGATGAGACCTCTTGAGTTCCCCGTTGCGTACTTGCTGCCCTTTGCTGCATGAAGAGGGAGGGAGGAAAATGGAAGGGGGAAGGGGAGGGTTGCGTACTCTGTCTCCCCCTGCTTTGATGAGACCCCTTGAGTTCCCCGTTGCGTACTTGCTGCCCTTGGCTGCATGGAGGGTGGGAAGAAGCATGCGGAGGGGAAATGGGGGGAAGGTGAGCTGCAGTGCGATGGAAGAGGTCTGATCAGCCCCCGTGAGTTCCCTGTTGCGTACTTGCTGCCCTTGGCTGTACGGGAGGGAAGGGGAGAGGGGAGGGAGGGAGGCAAGGGATGCATGGAAGGCTCTTGTCCCGCAGGGGTGGCAGCCAGAACTATTAAAGTAGTCTTTGATCAGCCCCTGTGAGTTCCCTGTTGCGTACTTGCTGCCCTTGGCTGCACGGAGGGTGGGAGGGGAGAGGGATGGAGATGGGAAGGGAGGAAGATAGAGGGGAGGAGGGAGGGAGGAAGAGGGGGAAAGGAAGGGCCTTGGCATTTCCGTGCGCGGACCAGTCCCCTTGTGCTCTCTATCGTGTCGAAAACTTTGTAGCTTTGGTTGCATGCATGGAACCGGCAGCAAGAGGCTACAAAGCTTTTACTGAGGCACACAATAGTAAGCCCACGTCCCACGTCCGTGGGCTGCACATGCACCTGGCAGGGCGGACTCAATCGCACACAAGCTCATGCACCTGGCAGGGAGAAGGAGGCGAAGGCACCTTGCTTCTGCACGTCGCTGGGCATGAGGTTGCAGAAACGACCACCTAGCAGGCACACTCACCTGGCAAGGAAGGCGCATCTGGCAGGGTGGGAATTGACTTGTGAGTGCGCGCACCCAACACACCTGGCAGGCTGTACCTGGGAGGCTGGGTTTTACACTTGTAAGCGCAGCACCACACCCACCTGGCAGGGAGAAGGAGACAAAAGCACCTCGTTTTTGCACGTCGCTGGGCATGAGGTTGCAAAAGCGACCACCTAGCATCTTGGAGGGTGGGGGTGTGTGAGGTGGAGGTGTGTGAGAGAGGGAGGGGGCAGGAGGGATGAGAACACGAGGGATGTGAGGCATGAAGTTGCAGAAGCGACCACATAGCATCTTGGAGAACAGGGGGGTGAGGGTGAAGGGTGTGAGGGTGAGGTAGGAATGGGAATCTGAGAGATGGGAAGGTGGCACGACGCTGGGCATGAGGTTGCAGAAGCGGCCACCACAACACCAGCCCAGCGACGAGGATGAGGATGCTGTAAGCGAGTTTTCCTGTATTGCTTATTACACACGCACACGCACCACAGCAGTCCCACCACCACATGTGCTGCTGCTTGCTGTTATAACGACAAAACCCGCCACCAGTCCAGACCCACCTGGGACCCCATGATTGTGATTGTACGCGATTCGTCTTGTGTAATTAGGTAACCCAGTTCACAACCACACCCACCTTAAACGCCAGCAGTCCCACCACCACATGCGCTGCTGCTTGCTGTTATAACGACAAAACCCGCCACCAGTCCAGACCCACCTGGGACCCCATGATTGTGATTGTACGCGATTCGTCTTGTGTAATTAGGTAACCCAGTTCACAACCACACCCACCTTAAACGCCAGCAGTCCCACCACCACATGCGCTGCTGCTTGCCGCGGGGACAAGGCAGGCCAGCGGTCCAAGCGAAGCCAGAACAAACAAGTGCGTGTGATTAATAGCAACTCTTCTTATTAGCCCACTCCACAATTACGCACCTTGAACGCCAGCAGTCCCACCACCACATGCGCTGCTGCTTGCTGAGGGGACATGCTAGGCCACCGATCCAGACCCAAACCAGCACCAGAGTGACATAAGCGAGCTTTTCTGTACAGCTCATTCCACAAGCGCACCCACCTTGAACGCCAGCAGTCCCACCACCACATGCGCTGCTGCTTGCCGCGGGGACATGCTAGGCCACTGGCCAATGCTGGAAAGACTCAACCAATCATGGTGTGCCAGCTCATCCGCCGCCCGCCTTCTCATGCCTGCCAAGCCCTTCTGCGCCCTCTCCATCCCTTCTCTTAGCTCTCGCAGCCCTGTGGGTCTGTCCGTACCGCTGCTGCTGTTTCTGTCCCCCCTGCTGCTGCTACTGCCGCTGTTACCGATGCTGTTACCATTGCTGCTACTGCCGCTGTTACTGCCACACAGTCCCCATAAGCCATGCGCTGCCCCCCTTGTGCGCTGCTGACTGCTGCTGCTGCTGCCGCTGCTGCTGCCTTGGCGTGGTTGGGTCTTCAAGGGCGGAGTTAGCTGGTGAGTCGATGTTTGCTGAGGCGGGTGGAAGGCTGCGTGCACCACCTGTGACGCCTGCAATGGGCAACAGGTGATAAACGGGCAAGACAGGAATCACATCAAGACACAACAGCACACCAAAAGACCCATGTCTTTGGGCACTCTCCCTGCTGACTGCTGCTGCCACTGCTGCTGCCTTGGCGTGGTTGGGTCTTCAAGGGCGGAGTGGGCTGGTAAATTGCTTGTTTGCTGAGGCGGGTGGAAGGCTGCGTGCACCACCTGTGACGCCTGCATGCAGCAGGTGCGGTGGAATGCGGTGGAGTGGGGTGGGGGGTGGGGTGGGGTGGCGTGGGGTCGGATTGGAGGAGAGGGGATGGGAGGAATTGGGATGGGATGGGCTGGTAAGACGATTGTTGCTGAGGCGGGTGAAAGGCTGTGTGCACCACCTGTGAGGCCTCCTGCATGCGGTTGAATGGGGTGGGTGGGGATGGGGTGGGGTGGATTGGGATAAGATGGGAGTCTGGGGAAGGGGAGGGGAGGGGAGGGGAGGGGAGGGAATTTGAAGGGAGGCGAGGGAAAGGGATGGGACGGTATGGGTTGAAGTACCACCCACTTTCTTCTACCCACTCTGCCCCGCCCACTCTGCCCAACCGACTCTACCCCGCTTACTCTGCATACGTCTTGCTGCAGAGTTGAACTTGAGCCTCACCGCCCAAGCCTCACTGCAGACGCTCACTGCCGAGGCTCACCTGCGCGGAGGCAAGGGAGCCAGCAGCGATGCAGAGAGCACCGAGGAGAGAGGAGGACACGGGCGAGGCGCAGGAGATTCTGCACAACATGCCAACATGCTTGTAACGGGGATGGGGGGACGAGAGAAGGAGACGGGTGAGGCACAGGAGTCTTTGCATAAGATGCCAGAATGCTTGTAGCGGGGATGGGGATGAGAGAGTGGGAGGCTTGTGCAGCGCAGGAGACTCTGCACATCATGCCAACGTGCTTATAACGGGGATGGGGGGAGAGGGGGTCGGATTGGTAAGAACGCAGGTGAGGAAGGAAAGATGTGGGGGAGGGGTGGCAGGGTGGGGGAGGGGAGGGGAGGGGAAGGGGGAGGGAAGGGGGGGGGGGGAAGAGGGGGGTTAGGGAGGGGGAAAAGGGGTGTTGCGGATGGGGGTGTTGCCATGGAAGCACATATAGGCCAAGGAATATGAATATGAGGATGTGGCCAGACGCTTCTTTTTGAGGCGCCTCAAATGTTGCCATGGAAGCACATATAGGCCAAGGAATATGAATCTGAGGATGTGGCCAGACGCTTCTAGGGACACGTACGTACACAGCAGGTGTACAGTCCGTTTGACATCTCTAATGCGGGGATCGCTACAGCCGAAATGAGCACATGCAAGGTTCGCTAAAGCCGAATTCGCACTTGCAGGGTTCAATACAGCCGAAATTTCGCGACAGCCAGAACTAGCAATTAGGACCAACCTGAGCGCAGGACGCAGCGGCCATGTACACGACGCCTGCTACACCCATCTCGGCTACAGCCGGCAGCAGCTGCACTGCTGCCTCTGCTACAACCGATGCACAGTCTGCTACAGCCGTTAAATTGCTCGGTGCTGCTGGTGCCATTGGCGACAACGGGATTGTTTTCTAACGCGGATTGATCAGAGATATGAAAAAAACACACAAACAAAGCAATCTAACTGGCCCAAGAGTGCACCACTTTACATGGAAACCACCGCGTCTCAGGAGACTAAGGCGAGAGCGACTGGCCACAGTCCGCTCAAGCGAGTGAGATTCGTGGTCATGTGACTGACTGGTAGGATGTGGAAGTGCAGTGAGAATGAGGTAAGCAAGGAGGCACATTGGACATCAGCGATCAGAGTGACACATTGAGAGTGTCATCGAATAGGTATAACGCGTATGACAGACCTGGGGGTATATTTATGACCACGTGAATTCAATGAGAAAGTATTCGTCATGCGATTATCTCTGATTAATGCGTTGATGGTAGAACTGTATTTGGTCCCCTGTGAAGATTTAAGGGATGTAGTGTTGGCACTCATACTGTTATATAAGTTATTATGCTGCCAACAATTGTACCATTCGATATGAGATCATAAGTGAATAGTTTGAAACTACTGGCTTGTTACAAACGGTAACTAGCCTCGCCACGTCAGCTTAATATGAAATGACCTGGCACTTTCCGTTTGTGCTCATGGTCAAGCGGCTGGACGAGATTTCGATACGTGACGGAGCGGTAGGTTGGGCTTACACCCTCTTTCTCGCTAGACTGAACTGTGCCGAACTGGTGGAAAACCTTGTTATCTTTGAATTACTTAATTAAACCATACCAAAATTTAATTAAACCATTGTTAACCGTGCTTTCCCATCATTGCGAGAAAGAGGCGGTACTGTAATCTGGGTTGCCTCGTGTTATCCGTCCGTACAGCTGAATGAGCAGAAAAACTCACCTAGAAATTGGGGCCAACATCATAGAAATGCAACTTAGTATGGTAACCCTATTCAATGGTATGCAAAACCGTCGATACCCTAGTTCTGCTGCGCAAAATTGTCTGGTAGCGCCACTCAAAACACTGTGTAACAGCGGATGCAGCACAGAAAAAGGAAGAAATATATGACAGAATCGGTTGCGTTTTTTATTTCGTATCTTCGTCGTAATTACCGCGCCTTGTTCGGCGCCTAACAAATATTCCTGCCGGCCACTATTTTCGCTAAATGCGCACGAAAAGTCCAGTGGAATGGAAAGTATGTGGGGTCGATTTCGATAACAATATATTGGACCAATATCTTGCTACGGGGAATTGCTAGGGCAGGGCAGAAAAACAATAAAACCCCTAGGGACCTGGACGCATTTTTGGGAGGGATCAACCCTAAACACGGAAAAGGACATTGTTTTTAGGGTTGATGCCTCCCTGACGCATCCCCTTCCGATTGGGTTTTATTTTTTTCTTGGCCCGAGGAAATTACGTCTCAGTGCGAAGGAAAGCGCGGTACGGAAACGAACGCGCTATTAGGGCCAAATGTCAATAACTTTTAGACTGAGGTCAGACGCTTTTGCATACCATTGAATAGGGTTACCATACTAAGTTGCATGTTTATGATGTTGGCCCTAGAAATTGTCCAACCTACACATCCACCAAACAACTACCCCTCCCCATTTGTCCCTAGAAAAACTCGCCTAGAAATTGTCCTACTGGATGCTGCCTGCACTGCACTGCTTTAATCGCGCGGTGACCGTTGTACTTGTAGTTTCTCATCACACACAACCACATTCCCCACCCAGTCCCATGCCATTGGTGATCAGGGACTCGCCACTCAGTAGCGAGTTCAATTTCGTCAGCTTTTTGGAGTGTTAGCGAACGTGCGACGCGTGCGAGCGAGTTCCGCAGCATTTAGCCGTGAGGCAGGTGGTTAGAGGCGGCAGCGCTTGTCGCAATGTTCGGCTTTATGTCGAAGCCTAAGACGCCAGCGGAAATAGTGCGAGCGCTCGCGGATGGGCTTCAGTCGCTGCCACGAGATGATAAGGTGGGTGTTGAAATTATACTAAAGAATTCTAATAAAGAATTATAATTCACTGTTGGAGTTCTTCCGTGCGACCACTGCTTGGCGATGGCGACGAATGAAGTGTCGGAATGCGGGTGTCGCAATGGGAGTGCGGCAATGCCAGTGTCGCAGTGGGAATGTCGCAATGCGAGTGTCGTCAATGGGAGTTCCGCAATGCCAGTGTCGCAATGCCAGTGTCGCAATGTCAGTGTCGCAATGCCGACTCGCGCGACGAAGGTGTCGCAATGGGAGCCGTGCGACGCGAGTGCAACAGAACTACAACATTATGACAGTCAGGCACACCTGGAAATAACATATTACGTCAGAACGGAGTGCAAGAATCCTACAAAGTGGATTCATTGAGCATATCGTCATTCTAGAGAGCGAATTGACCACATTGGAGGAGGTGCTGAAGAGTGTGGTGACAGTGCATTTATTTGTAGGTCGTTTCGAGAACTCTAAAAAAAACGACCCACGTCAACTTGGTTTCATTGTGCATATCGTCAATCTAGACTAGAGAGAGCATTGACCACATTGGAGGAGGTGCTGAAAAGGCTGGTGACAGACAGTGCGCGTGCTGCTCGTCTGCAGCAAGAAGTAGCTTCCCTCTTCTCCACCTCCCCACACCACCATTCCTGTTAAAGCTGTGTCAGAGTGCAGCAGAGGAGGTGCCGACGAGCCTGGTGACAGTGTGCGTGCTGCTCGTTTGCATTGCAGCAAGCACGAGTAGAGCAAATCTAAATCTTCCGTTCCCCCCCATCCCCACCCCTGCACTGCACCCTGGTCCGTTCTGTGATTTCATTCTCACAGGGCGCAGAGGAGGTTCTCAGGAGTCTGGTGACAGTGCGGGTGCTGCTCATAGGCGATCTGGACTGGACTGCACGGAACAGTGTGAATACTCCCCGTGTCACCCCCACCTCCCCCCTCCTCTCCCCTCCTTTTCTGTGAGACCCCACCCACGCCACCACAGAGTGCAGCTGCAGGAGATACTGAAGAGTCTGGTGACAGTGTGAGTGCTGCTCATAGGCGATCTAGGCACAAAAGTGTAGTTTCTTTCCAAATCACGTCCCCCTCTTCTTTGCTGTGATACCCCCACCACCCTCAACGCAGAGTGCAGAGGAGGTGTTGAAATCCCTGGTGACAGTGAGTGCTGCTCATAGGCGATTTGGACGCGCCGCCCAACCCAATCATGTCAGCGCAGTTCCCTTCCTCCTCAATGCGTTGTTTCCCCCCTTCCCCACACCACAGAGTGCAGAGGAGGTACTGAAATCCCTGGTGACAGTGCGAGTGCTGCTCATAGGTGATTTGGATGCGAATGCAGCTTCCACTTTCCCCTTTTCCCTGTGAAATTTGTGTCACAGAGTGCAGAGGAGGTACTGAAATCCCTCGTGACAGTGCGAGTGCTGCTGATAGGCGATTTGGACGCGCCGCCCAACAAAGAGGCTGTAGCGGCGGCTGTAGCGGAGTCGGTCGAGTGTGACCTGCTGCCTCTGCTGGTGTCGCGTCTGCCTGTCTTTGACTGGGAGGTGCGTTGTGCATTGTGTTGTGTTGTGTTGTGTAGTGCATGGCTGTTCAGGAATGCTTGGTTGTAAAGAGTGTGTGATTGTAATGAGAATGTTTTTAGTGGCTATGGTACTATTTGTGATGGGAGAAGAGGCGGTTTTCTGAGCTGCAGATTTAAAAAGAATTTCACTACATTACCTGCAACCCCTTCTTTTCCATCAGGCTCGCAAGGAGATGGTGCTGGTGTGGACGTACCTCCTTGCACACGGGGGGAAGAGACGGCGACCAAAAGGAGATGATGACGAGGATGAGGAGGAGGAGGAGGAGGAGGAGGAGGAGGAGGAGGAGGGAGGGGAGGGGTTGTGGGCTGCTGAGCTATAAAGCCAAAGCAAATCCCCCTGCACTCCCCGCAATCCCTTTCGCCCTCAGGCACGCAAAGAGATGGTGCTGGTGTGGACGTACCTCCTTGCACACGGGGGGAAGAGACGGCGACCAAAGGGGGATGACGACGAGGATGAGGATGAGGATGAGGAGGGAGGGGAGGGCGGGGGAGCACAAAAGGGAGCGCGTCAGGAGGAAGAGGAGGAGGGACCGGCAGTGGCGTTGGAGTTTGTGGAGAGGCACACAGAGCTGGTGGATAAGCTTGTACGCGGGTGAGTGGATCAGTGACTTATAGTGAGTCAGAGCTAGAAGTGAAGGTCTCAAGGGGAAGAGGAGGAGGTATAGTCAATGGCGTTGGAGTTTGTGGAGAGGCATACAGAACTGGTGGATAAGCTTGTACGCAGGTATGTCTTTTAAGCCGTACTCCAGCTCGTGTCGTGGGCACTGTTCGTGTCATCCGAGATTCTTCGAATCCGGAAATTTCGACTGCTCAAGTGTACAGGAAGCCAAAAAAAAAAAAAAAAAAAAAAAAAAAAAAGTGAGATTTGCAGATGACAATGTTAGACGGATTGAATGCAGGATTGGGGCGTCGTACTGAGAAGAGAATGTATGCAGATGAGAATGACAATTAGAATGTATGCAGGCAAGCAACTATGCAAATCTCGTTCCTCTCCCCCTCCAGACTCCAGTGATGTCTTCCCCACTTACTTTCTCCTTTTCCTCCCTCCCACACCCCCCTTCCTTTCTCTCTCTCCCCTTCTCCTTTCGCCCCCCTTCCCCTTCTCCTTTTTCCCCTTCCTTCCCCACCCAGCTACAAGCAGAAGGACATTGCTCAGAATTCCGGTCTCATGCTGAGAGAATGCCTGCGCTCGCCCAAACTCGTCAGGTAGAAGAGGTGTGGAGAGGTGTAGAGAGGAGTAGAGCGCTGTGGGGGAGAAGGAACAGAGTGTGAGATGATCAAAAGGTGTTCTGTGGAGTGGAGGGGTGCTTACCTGAGATGAGAGGGGGGCTGGGTTATGGGTGGGGGATCGAAGGGATGGGGATGTAAGAGGTGGGGAAAGGGAAGAAGTGGGAGGATGTGCACCCCTAACCTTGCACTCCATGCAACCTCTTAGTACCCTATATCACCTGCTCGCACCAGATTTGACCTGATTGCACCCCATTTTACCTGCAGGACTCTGCCTCCTTGCTCACTCTCCTGGCCCACACACCCCTCCACCTCTGCACCCCATCCCTTCTCCCTGCCCTCCCAGCCACACGCCGAATCTACATGTCATCATGGGCGGCTGTGACTTACAGAACTCTCCTCTCCTCTCCTCCCGTATTTTCCCTTCCACATCCCTCCAACTCGCTCCCCCTCTGCCTCCCAGCCACACGCTGCAGTTTTCGAATCTAGACATCATCATGGGCGGCTGTGACCTGCAGAACTTTGACACTGCCTCCGACGCCTTCCTCACCCTCAAGGTGTGTTTGCATGCAACACCCTGTGCCATTGAATGTCCCAAGGGTCTTCGCTTATAGTGGAAGAGCAGCAATTCTAAAGAGTGACGCTTAAAGCAACAAAAGGAAACGAAACAGAAAAAGGTGTGTTTGCATGCAACACCCTGTGCCATTGTTCTTGGTGTGCTTTTGCACACAGTAACCACCCTGCCATCGCCACAAACAGCACCCAAGGAACAAACCCTGACTTGCAGAACTTTGACACTGTTTCTGACGCCTTCCTCACCCTCGAGGAACACTCACCATCCACCCAGCGATACCTTACCTTGTCCTCGGAGGCAAGTTATGCCTCTGCTTCTGCTGGTGCGCTTGGGTTTGAAAGCACTTGCTTCCCTCGGCTGCCATGCCATGGCACAACAGCTCACTGTCACCGCCGCCACACCACAGCAGCACCCTGTGACCTGCGGAACTTTGACACAATGAGAGCAATACCTGCGGAACCCTGCTCTCTGACATTGCCTCTCACACCTTCCTCTCCCTCAACGTGCACTTTCAAGCAGCAGCCACGTGATAAAAGTGTCGTTTTGAGACGTCTCAAAACGACCTGCGGAACTTTGGCATTGCCTCTCACACCTTCCTCTCCCTCAACGTGCGCTTTCAAGCAGCAGCCACGTGATAAAAGTGTCGTTTTGAGACGTCTCAAAACGACCTGCGGAACTTTGGCATTGCCTCTCACACCTTCCTCTCCCTCAACGTGCGCTGTCAAGCAGCAGCCATGTGACAAAAGTGTTGTTTTGAGACGTCTCAAAACGACCTGCGGAACTTTGGCATTGCCTCTCACACCTTCCTCTCCCTCAACGTGCGCTGTCAAGCAGCAGCTGTTGCTGAACCTGAGGGCTCCAACCAACTGGGCCACGCCTTAGGTCGGTCCCTATAGTGTCACAACAGCACCCACTCTGTGTTTACAGAATCTTGTTGACATTGCCTCTGATCATTCCTCTGCCTCAGCACGCTGTGATCGCCACAGCAGCACAGCACCCTGTGCAAACCGCTAACTCCTCATCAAAGCTCTGATACCATCTTTTTAACATCCCATTCCTCCCATGCCTCTTTCATGCACGCACCACAAGTTAGGATCCTTGTGTTGACTCTAGACTCATCGCACCGTGATGCTGCTGCCCTGCCCTTCCACATCCCGCCCCCTCCTCTTATGCCCCCCATGCACGCAAAAGAAGTTGAGCAGGGCCCTTGCGCCCTGCTCTAGGGACGCGAGAGCATAATAAGTTGACTATAGAGTCTAGAATCACGGCACCATGATGACAGCCCTTCCATATCCCGCCCCTCCCATCCCATCCTTCCCATGGTTTGACCTGGACCTGCTGAAGCGACAGCCTGCCACTCTGCCGCATCCCAGCAAGACACATTTCAGCAGACGTAGCAAGCTCTTTGAAATCCAATCTGCTATCACGCCTGTCCTTCCACCCACCCACAACCCACCCCTCCTCCCATGCTCCCCATGGGCTGAGCAGGACCTGCTGAAGCAACATCCGTCTGTGGCAGCAGAATTCTTAATGACCAACTTCGAGGATGTATGTAAGGGGAGGGGGGAAGGGGGTGGGTGGGGTAGGGAGGGCAGAAAGAAAAGGGGCAAGTGTGGATTATAGTCACATCCAGCTGTGGCAGCAAAGTTTCTAATGACCAACACATGCGAGTGTTTCAAAGTTTATAGTCACCCCATCACCTCACCACTCCATCACCTCACCACTCCATCACCTCACCACCCCATCACCTCACCACTCCATCACCTCACCACTCCATCACCTCACCACTCCATCACCTCACCACTCCATCACCTCACCAACCCATCACCTCACCACTCCATCACCTCACCACCCCATCACCTCACCACTCCATCACCTCACCACCCCATCACCTCACCACTCCATCACCTCACCACCCCATCACCTCACCACCCCATCTCCTCACCACCCCATCACCTCACCACCCCATCACCTCACCACCCCATCACCTCACCTCCCCATCACCCCATCACCTCACCACCCCATCGTCTCATCAACCCATCAACTCATCGCCCCATCGCCCCATCACTCCACCTCCCCATCACCCCGTCACCTCACCACTCCATCACCTCACCACCCCATCACCTCACCACCCCATCACCTCACCACCCCATCACCTCACCACCCCATCACCTCACCTCCCCATCACCCCATCACCTCACCACCCCATCGTCTCATCACCCCATCAACTCATCGCCCCATCGCCCCATCACTCCACCTCCCCATCACCCCATCACCTCATGACCCTGTGGCACATCAGTTCTTCAAGCGCTTTGATCTGCTCCTCAACTCGGACAACTATGTCACGAGAAGACAAGCTATCAAGGTACACCTGACAGCTCCTGGTAAGGATCGTTTAGGCGCCTGAAAAAATGCCTCGTCAGTTCTTCAAGCGCTTTGATCTGCTCCTCAACTCGGACAACTATGTCACGAGAAGACAAGCTATCAAGGTACGCCTTATCATCCCACGCCTTACTCCCTTGTGTTATATGTGCCTCCCCTGCCCACCCCCTCCTGCCTGCCCATTCACACCAGCTGCTAGGCGAGCTGCTTATGGACCGGGCCAACATGCAAGTGATGATGTGATACATCGGAGAGGCACACAGTGCGACATCAATGCTGTGTGTGTTCCTCACCTTTCCCTTGTGCTCCCCGCCTTCCCACCCCCATCAGCTGCTAGGCGAGCTTCTTCTGGACCGAGCCAACATGCAAGTGATGATGCGATACATTGGAGAGGCACACAACTTCAAGATCATGATGACTCTCATCAAGGTACTCGGGTCTTAAAAGGGATATGGAGGGGCGTAATGATTCGGTTATATCTAGAAGAAGCTAAGAGAGGCACACAACTTCAAGATCATGATGACTCTCATCAAGGTACTTGGGTTGTTGGAGACATACAGGTGTGCTGCAAAGCAGAACGAGAGCTTGGTAAGCATAAATGAAGGCTCACAACTTCAAGATCATGATGACTCTCATCAACCTGCTGTTCCTATCATGATGACTCTCATCAAGGTATTTGGTGTTTCAACCATTGCCCTCAACTGAACCATTTATCTGCATCAAAATTGTAAGGTTGTAGGGTTGCAGACCGAGGGCTTGGTAAAGTGAAGAAAGAAATCTGAAGGCACACAACTTTTATATCACGATGAGTCTCATCAAGGTAATGTGTAGCTCGTTTACCCATACACACCAACTACCATTACGCCATGTTCTACGCCTATGCATTCCCCACCACGCCCCACCACACCTCACCACGCCCCACCGCACTCCACCACACCCCACCCACCATCAGGACCCCAGCAGAGCCATTCAATACGAGGCCTTCCACGTGTTTAAGGTGCTCCCCATATTCTTCAACTCTCAGCTTATGTTTTTCTCCTTGGTCAAAACGCAGTCTGCTAGTACTTGCTCTCTGCTTTTTCTTCTTCCCTGTCTCTTTCCGTTCCAGTGTAAAGCACATGTTCCTTGCATGAGGCTTCTACTGTGTACGTCACTGCATGGTGCATCTCACCTCTCATGGCTCCCATCACACCCCCGTACAGATCTTTGTGGCGAATCCACGGAAGCCAGAGAAGATTGTGAAGCTGCTGGCGCGCAACAAGGACAAGATGGTCAAATTCCTCAAGGACTTTGAGATCGACAAAGGTGTGCGCACGTGCTAAACAGATGGCAAAAATGTGTGTTTTGGCCGTGCCTCAAGATGGTCAGTTCCTTGAGTGCTGTCAAGTGCTTCTGAGAATTTGTCATGGCACTCTGCTGCCTTGCAACAAGGAGAAGATGGTCTAAGATGGTGAAATTCCTCTCAAGGACTTTGAGTTCAACAAAGGTGTGTGTGCTGATGAAATGGGTAAAGGTGTGTGTCCAAAGATGATACACAGGGGTGCATGTACTGTGCCCAGTTGAACAAGTCATTTTTCTTTCATAGTTATAAGGCAAGATGGTTGTATTCCTAATCGTCATATCCTTCGAGTTACTTCTACCAAAGGGCATCCCGTTGTCTCTCCTCACCTCCCATCCGCCTCCTTATTCCTATCCTTCTTGTCTTTTTGTTTCACCCATTCTTCATTCCATTCCTTTACTTTCCGATTTTCCCCTTTAACAACACAGAGGAGGAAGATTTTGAGGAGGAAAAGGAGATGCTTATAAGGGAGATACAGAATGCCCATTACCCTGGTCTTGGATGAGTGCGATGTGAAGCTTCATGACTTATTACACGTGAGTCGTAGTGATTATGTTAGAATGTTGGCTGCAGCTACAATCATTACTTCTCTGGTTGTCCGCCCATAAGGAGAGTTTTGTATTTTAATGTTATTGAACCTCTCTAGTAATGTACGCCTTGTGCAGTTGGCCACTGAATTCGATCCCGCTCATGAAGATGCTCACAAATATTTATGTATTGGAAATGAGGATTCCACATTACTTATTTCCCTTAGCCATCTGAAGATGATCACATTACTTATTCCACGTTACTTATTTCCCTTATTTCCCAGATGAGGGGGATCTGAATTAGATCCCGCTCATGAAGATGCTCACAAATCCACATTCCACAAACTCACACATATTCGTCTGTAATGTGGAATCCTTATTTCCCTTACTGAGTCAACTGGTTATGGTCCTGAGTTTTGGTCAGAAATATCGCTGACATGCTTGCCACGTCTGCATTAGAACTTGGCGAAATCCCGTCGCAGGGTCTTCGCACCGGGATACCATCTTCGATCATTGCCCCGCAAGCATTTCCCAGGTCCAGCGTGGATTGACACACACCCACCACTAGCGGGGAAGGGCAGCACAGAAGACCATCGAGAAAATCTCACCCACGAAGTGCCACCAAGGCAGCTTGAAATCAAATGCTAGAGGGCGTATCCTAGTTAGCACCGCAGGCTGGACGGACGACACGAAGCGGACTGTTGATTCATGTGTCACAGAAAATCCGTTTTGGGACGACATCCTCTGGGCTGAGTCCTGCCAATAACATCAAACTGCGATACACGAAACTAAACGAACCTAGTTCGTTCTCCACGATCTACGGATGAAACTCTGGCTAATCTTATGACAACTCGTCACGCCCGCGCAGGAGAGCTCCAGGAAGAACAGAACAAGACCGCGCAACTCTAGGGACAAGGAAACTCTGAAGGGCCTAGAACCAAGAGGACCAGAGCAGACCAGCGTCTTGGTAACTCCATAAACCAAGAATTCATCGAGTCGAAGAAACAACCAGCTCTTTTGCACAGGCTTGATAGCTTCATAGAACGTATCTTATCTCGTGCGTTGCATTCACCCTTCGCCTCCGAATCCGCCGTTTAATCTGTCCCCCGCAAAGAGTCGTTTGGCCGGTATGTCGCTTCGGCTAATGGCAGCGTTGCATTCAAGGCGGCATCGTCGCCTTTGTCGTTGTCGCTCGTCCCTAACACGCTCTCTTCCCTTTTCTAAACGTTTCGCTCTCCACACGCGTCCTCGACTGTCTGTTCACAGTGTGCATTGGATTCGCACTTACGATTTCATCGCGTGTTTTAGCTCGCTGTTTCAAAGTTAACCGGACTCTGCTTCCACTGGAACTTACTGAATGGCTTCAACTCATTGGATTTCATCAGCTGGCCGCGAATGTCGTCAACTCACTGAATGCCGTCAACTCACTTAATGTTGTCAACTTACTGAACGTCGTCAACTCACTGAATGTCGTCAACTCACTGAATGTCGTCAACTCACTGAATATCCAACTCACTCATTATCCAACTTACTGTATCTCCATTCCAATCTTCCTTCCCCTTCTTCCCCTCCTTTTCCTTCCCCACTCACTGAACTCCAGGCTCCATCAACGCCACTAATCATCACAACGTCCCTGCCTCACCTTCGCTGCTACTGCCATTCGCAGCTAGCCGCAACTGGACCTCCTGCTGCTGCTGTTGATTCTGCCATTTGAACTGCTTGTTGTGCATTTCGGAAGCACCTTGCTTTCGGTTATAACACGATTGCTAGCACTGTGCCGCTCTGATGCTGAGCCGCTGTGCCAGGATAGAGCACCGACCTGAGACCTGACTAAACCGACCTGTGACCTGAATACACCGACCTGTGACCTGTCTACACCGACCTGAGACCTGTCAACACCGACTTGAGACCTGTCTACACCGACCTGTGACCTGTCTACACCGACCTGAGACCTGTCTACACCGACCTGTGACCTGTCTACACCGACTTGAGACCTGTCTACACCGACCTGTGACCTGTCTACACCGACCTGAGACCTGTCTACACCGACCTGTGACCTGTCTACACCGAACTGCCAGCATGCCGCGAGCCTCGCCCACACCTTCCAGGAACATTCTGATCGCTGTCGATCCCAGCCCTGACAGGTGAGTCGTGCTTGGGAGGCCTCATTACCTTTGCACTGTATAATCACCCTGCACGCCCTCATAGAAGCATCTGTCCCCCTACAGCACCCACGGAACCACACAATAACAATTGTCTCATCACTGTTGCCAAGGAGCCTAGGCCCCTAAAAACCACACACAGGCTGAGTGAACCCCCTTTCGCCTGAATGTTTTTGCCTCTTCTTTTGCTCACCCGTCTCCCTCCCCCCCCACACCTCCTCCATATTAGTGAGAAGGCAGTAGCATGGACGCTCAAGAACCACATTCGTCCATCAGATCGAGTCACGCCTTTTGTGTGAACCGTTTTTGTCCTCTTCCTTCGCATCCCCCCCTTCACACCTCCCCTGTATCTGCGAGAAGGTGGTGGCATGGGCCCTCAAGAACCACATTCGTCCTTCTGATCGAGTCACGCTTTTTGCGTGAACCGTTTTTGCCCTCTTCCTCCGCATCTCCCCCCTCACACCTCCCCTGTATCTGCGAGAAGGTGGTGGCATGGGCCCTCAAGAACCACATTCGTCCTTCTGATCGAGTCACGCTTTTTGCGTGAACCGTTTTTGCCCTCTTCCTCCGCATCCCCCCCCTCACACCTCCCTATATCAATCAGTGAGAAGGCAGTAGCATGGGCGCTCAAGAACCACATTCGTCCATCAGATCGAGTCACTTTGCTGCACGTGCGCCCAGTTGTCGAGTCGGGACCTGGCCTCTTTGCAGGTAGGGTTACACATGGTTACAAGGTTGCATGCCTATTGCACGTGCGCCCAGTAATATCGAGACCTACCTCTTTGCAGATACAGTTACTGGTTACAAGGTTTCATCATTGCACGTGCGTTCAGTAATACCGAGACCTAGCCTCTTTGCGGGTTCAGTTAAATGCTACCTGGATTCTTGGGTAGCTGGTTGTGTGGTTACCTGGTTACATGATTACCTGGCTGCTGCGGGATCCTAGATGCGCCCGCACACCTGGTCATATGGGTGAATGTCTCGCTGTATATTTGTGTTTGTGCCCCGCATCTCCCTCTACCCCTCTGCCAGCCTATGCGGACTCCACACTGTCAGCAGAGGTAATGGGGGAGGTGGACCGAGTGATAGAGAAGCACAACACTGGGGTGGTGTGGGAAGAATCACTCTCCTCTCTGTTTGCTTATGGCTGTATCTAGCCTGTGTGCCCCACGCTCCCTCTGCAGCCTATTCGGATTCAACATTGTCAGCAGAGGCGATGGCAGAGGTGGACCGAGTGATAGAGAAGCACAACGCTGGGGTGGCGTGGGAATAATCACTCTCCTCTCTGCTTTCTTATGGCTGTATACATGCGCGTGTGCCCAACATAACCCCATATGTCTCTCTCCCCTGTGTGCCCCACCCGACACCGACACACCCCCTTGTCTTCCTGCTGCAGCCTATGGCGACTCCACGCTGTCAGCAGAGGCAATGGCGGAGGTGGACCGAGTGATGTAGAGCGTGGCGTTTCATGTGCCGGGGAGGTGACTTTGTGACCTTCTCTGTTCCCCACACACCCCCACCTCTCCCCCACCAGCCTATGCCGACTTCACTCTGTCAGCAGAGGCGATGGCGGAGGTTGACCGAGTAAGAGAGAAGCACAACGCTGGGGTGGTGTGGTGTGGGGAGAGCCAGCTTGCACTCTGGTTCCTTAGGGCAACACCTATGCCTGTTTGTCCCACGCTCCCCCTCCAGCCTATGCGGATTCAACACTGTCAGCAGAGGCAATGGCAGAGGTCGACCGTGTGATAGAGAAGCACAACGCTGGAGTGCGGAGGAAATTCGTGAGCAATCTGTCGCACCAGCTGGACCAGGCTAAGGTGGGTCAGTAGGTGTGCTAGCTGAGAAAGCTAGTAGGGTGGATGGGGGGTTGGTGGGTGGGTCGCGGCAGTTGGAGGGTGGATGGCCCTGTGGGAGGGCGGGTGGGAGGGTGGGTGGGAGGGTGGGTAGGAGGGTGGGTGGGTGGGTGGGTGGGTGGGTGGGTGGGTGGGTGGGTGGGTGGGTGGGTGGGTGGGTGGGTGGGTGGGTGGGTGGGTGGGTGGGTGGGTGGGTGGGTGGGTGGGTGGGTGGGTGGGTGGGTTGGTGGGTGGGTGGGTGGGTGGGTGGGTGGGTTGGTGGGTGGGTGGGTGGGTGGGTGGGTGGGAGGGTGGGAGGGCGGGTGGGTGGGTGAGTGCGTGTGGCAGTGCAGGACGCGGACCTCAGGGAGCACATCTGCACGAACACGTGTAATAACCCTGTGCTTGCCGCGTTCTCCCTCGTTTCCCCTCTCTCTTTTATCGAATCAAGTACAGTACGACATAGTGGCAGTGCAGGGCGCGGATCCCAGCCCAGGGAGGTGTTGACGTGAAGGAGCCAACACAAACCCTGTCCCCCTCTCTCCTTCTGCATTCTCCCTCTCTCTCTCTCCGCATCTCTCTCACTCCCAGGTCCAATACGACATAGTGGCAGTGCAGGACGCGGATCCCAGGTAGCGCCATTGCAAGAACCCACATGATAACCCTGTGCTTCCTGTCACACGCTCACTGTGTACCATTATCCTGTCTTCCTTAGGTCCCAACGACATAGTGGCAGTGCAGGACGCGGATCCTAGGGAGCGCATCTGCAGGAATCCCCATGAATTCCCTGTGCCTCCTCCTTGATTCTGCTCTGCCTCCCTCCCTTTCCTATCTTCCTCAGGTGCAATACGATATAGTGGCAGTGCAGGACGCGGACCCCAGGGAGCGCATCTGCGAGAGCCCTTGTAATGAGCATGTGCTATCTGCTGCATTCTCCCCTCCCTTCCTTTGCTTGTCGTATCATCTTCCTCTTGTCCTTTGGCCACCACCACCAGGTACAATACAGCATAGCGGCAGTGCAGGACGCGGACCCCAGGGAGCGCATCTGCAAGAACCTCGGTAACGTCCTGTGCTTCCTGCCTGATTCTCCCCTGCCCCCCTCTATTTGCTATCAACCACCACCAGGTGCAATACGACATAGTGGCAGTGCAGGACGCGGACCCCAGGGAGCGCATCTGCAACGAGGTGGAGAGGATGAAGGCGCATACTCTCATCATGGGGTCACGGGGACTCAGTACTGTTAAGCGGTGAGATGTGGTCCAGTGCGATGGTGCAGTGTGGTGAATCTGCAGCGAGGTGGAGAGGATGCAGGCGCATACACTCATCATGGGGTCCCGACGGGCTTAGCACAGTGAAACGGTGAGTGAGTGTGAATCAGAGAACATAACTGCAGCATATCTGGAGCATATGATGTTTACATATTTGCAGTCTATGTGTACATGCTACATGCTGACAATGTGCTGTGCTGCTTGACGCAACTCCTTCATGGATCCCCTCCCTCCCCACTCCCCTCCCCTCCCCTCCCCTCCCCTCCCCTCCTCTCCCTAACCTTCCCTCCCCTTCTCCCCCAGACTGGTGCTTGGGAGCGTGTCAGACTCTTGTGCCAACCATGCCACCTGCCCCGTTACTAGGCTCAAGCAATCAGATCAGAGACTGTTTGACGTTCCTCCTTCCTTCCCCTCCCCTCCCCTCCCCTCCCCTCCCCTCCCCTCCCCTCCCCTCCCCTCCCCTCCCCTCCCCTCCCCTCCCCTCCCCTGCCCTCCCCTCCTCTCCCCTCCCCTCCCCTCCCCTCCCCTCCCCTCCCCTCCCCTCCCCTCCCCTCCCCTCCCCTCCCCTCCCCTCCCCTCCCCTCCCCTCCCCTCCCCTCCCCTCCCCTCCCCTCCCCTCCCCTCCCCTCCCCTCCTCTCCCCTCCCCTCCCCTCCGCTTTCCTTCCTTCGCCTCCTCTCCCTCCGGACTTGTGCTTGGTAGTGTGTCAGACTATTGTGTCAATCATGCCACCTGCCCTGTCATTGTCGTGCGGCCCAACAAATCAGAGACTGCTTTTTCTTTAGTCGAGTCTAATACCGTACCATCCCCTTCCTCCCCTCCCCCTTCCAGACTTGTGTTGGGAAGTGTATCGGACTATTGTGTCAATCATGCCACCTGCCCGGTCATTGTCGTGCGGCCCAAGCAATCAGAGAATGCGTGAACCTCCTCCTGCTTCAACCTCCTCCTGCTTCAACCTCCTCCTGCTTCAACCTCCTCCTGCTTCAACCTCCTCCTGCTTGAACCTCCTCCTGCTTGAACCTCCTCCTGCTTCAACCTCCTCCTGCTTCAACCTCCTCCTTCTTCAACCTCCTCCTGCTTGAACCTCCTCCTGCTTGAACCTCCTCCTGCTTCAACCTCCTCCTGCTTCAACCTCCTCCTGCTTCAACCTCCTCCTGCTTCAACCTCCTCCTGCTTCAACCTCCTCCTGCTTGAACCTCCTCCTGCTTCAACCTCCTCCTGCTTCAACCTCCTCCTGCTTCAACCTCCTCCTGCTTCAACCTCCTCCTGCTTCAATCTCCTCCTGCTTCAACCTCCTCCTGCTTGAACCTCCTCCTGCTTCAACCTCCTGCTTCAACCTCCTCCTGCTTCAACCTCCTCTTGCTTCAACCTCCTATGAAGCTACCACCATACTATACTTCAGCTGTTTAGCATTGCCATACAAACAAGGGTGTGAATGTGATGCTGCTGCAAGGGTCAAAGAGACATTGCCAGTAGCTTCTATGCCCACTCGGATGACTTAGCCACACTACACTACACGTCGGTGGTCTGTATTTTTTTAAGCGGCGAACTATTTCTGTTCTCCTGCCTAACAAGCAACGTCCCCATGCCTGAAGAACCAGCACATGCTCCTCAGGTGCATTTGAATCACTTCACATCACATCTCATCTCATTCTCTTAAAGCTGCGGTCTACATACCTAGAGCAGGAGGCCTCAGATTATCACTTGAAAACCGGGTGACCAGTTTTTGAACTCGGCCCCCTTTCCTGCAAAGCTAACGGTTCAGAGGGGTGGAGAGAGGGGGGTAGGGTTCTTTCCGCCTGAAACCGAACTCCCCAGGTTGTTTCCCGCCCTTCCGCAGACCCTCCCCCAAACTACGCGTCAGCACGAAATTGGGCTGGATTCGCGTTTCCTGTCAGTTCCTCTGCTGCGGTGTTTCTGAAACTGCTGACTTCGCTCTCCAATCAGGACGCACGAAAGGGTGGGCATAAAAAATACTTCCAAAAAACACCACCTAGTATGTAGACCGCAGCTTTAAAGCGATGGTGCACATTTGCCACCCAAAACCCAGAACCCTGGTGAACTTTTACTGCGGATGAAAAGTGTCCGCACGAAATCCTGGTTTTCGCCAGCCAACACTTTCGCGCTGGCAAGCCTGTTTCAGAACAAAAACTTATGAAGAGTATGCTGGTCCAAGTGCTGCAACTCCTGCCTCTCCTGCTCCAACCGCTCCTGCTCCTCGCGCCCAAGCAGGCGAAGGGCCTGGAGACGGGTGTCGTAGCGGTGGGGAGGCGCAGTGGGCGCCGCAGTAGTCGCGCCCCCAGCTCCTGTCTCCTCAGTACCATCTCCTGCAGCGCCAATACCTCCTGCTTCAGCACCCCCAGAACTAGCACCACGAGCGCCAGTAGTACCTCCATCTCCAGCACCCCCTGAGCTAGCGCCACCAGCGCCAGCACCTCCGGCTCCAGCACCCCCACAACTAGCACCTCCAGTGCCAGTACCTCCAGCTCCAGCACCCTCAGAATTAGCACCTCCAGTGCCAGTACCTCCAGCTCCAACACCCCCAGAACTAGCACCTCCAGTGCCAATACCTCTAGCTCCAGCACCCCCAGAACTAGCGCCACCAGTGCCAGCACCTCCAACTCCAAAACCACCTGAGTCCACAGTAACCTATCGCGGAAGTGCCAAAGGCTGCTGAGGGGACTGTGAGGAGGACTGCGGGTAGGGAGACGCTACCTGGCGTGCGATCGAGGGGAGAGGAGTAACGTGAGACACTCCTGACGGGGCAGGACCAGGGGGGGGCGGGGGTAGTGGAGGAGCGGGAGTAGGGGGAGGAGAGGGTGCGAGGAAGAGTGGGGGAGGGGGAACCGCGAAGTGGCCGGACGAAGGGAGGAGGAGTGCGGAGTGGCGCACAGGTAGCCGGCGACGCAAGGAGTGCAAGGTGGAGCAAGCGAGGGAGGGAGCGACGGAAAGACGCGCATGAGACCTGAGACAAGACTGTGACTGGCCATGTTGCGGAGGCGGTGGAGCGACGGGTGGCCGAGGCAGTGGTGCCACAAGACGGTCGGGTGGGCTAGGGACCGACAGGAGCCAGACACAGCAACTAGGCCGGACACAGCAACCTGACTAGACACAACAACCTGACCGGACACATCAGCCTGTGGGGACACAGTAACGTGACCGGACTCTGCTACCGGGGGGGACGAAGCAACCTGACCACACGCAGCTACCTGCTGGGGTGGAGTGTGCAGGTCGAAGAGACCTGAGTGGGGCTCTCTGGTGAACGTGGCAAGAACTGCCCAGGTGGAAGAGTCCGTGTAGATCACAGTCCTCCCGTGCGCAGAAAAAGTGACTGGATCCCCCTGTCCTGAAGGTATCCAACACCCACCAAGTTCCGAGAGAACGAGGGGGTGTAGAGACCAATGAGGAAAGTAGAGGGGGCAACTGGACACGGGAGACTGGTCGAGCTGCGAGCAACTGCTGGTCCTGAAGTAGGATCAGCCAGTGCAACTGGGACTGGAGCCGAAAGAGGTGTGAAAGTGGTGTGGTCGCGGAAGAAGCACTGAGACGCTCCGGAGTCCAGCGTGAAGGAGAGCGACACAACAGCAATCGTCACGGATGGGCTAGTGACTACACAAGCACCTACACTAAAAGCACAAGTACCTACACTAGCAAAAGGCAGAGGTCCTAACCTAGGTACACACAAGCCAAGAGATCCATACGTGAAATAATAAACAGCATCCATAGACATATCAAACACAGTTTAACCACTACGAAACAGACCGGGCCAGATCGGGGGAGCCGACTCAGGCCCAAAACGCTCACGGTAGAGGTCGTCGAGGCGACTGTAGCAGCGCTGTGCAGAGTGGTCAGGACGCCAGCAGGTAGTGCCAGCACCAGGGCCGGTTAGGATCCGGTACTGGCAGGGGCCTATGTCGCGGCCACCGCGACGAGCCCCTCAGCTGGCTGGGCCGCTGGTGCAGTCAGCGCTACTCGAACCACCAGGCCCCCACGGCTGCTGAGGGCGCCTCAGCTGCTGAGGGCGCCTCAGCTGCTGAGGGCGGAGCTGCTGTTGAGGGCGCCACTGCTGCTGCGGGTGCCACTGCTGCTGTGGGCGCCACTGCTGAAACTGCCGCTGGTGCTGTCCCTGCTGCTCTAGAACCCTAGTGGCCGCCATGATAAAGGCTAGCGGGGTGCAGAAGCGACAGGCTAGGAGCGACAGGATCTAGGGACGGCTGAAGTGAAAAACGAGAACAACTAGGAGCGCCAGGTGAAACTAGGTGAGGAACGGCCGGAGGACGGAGCAAACAGAACTAGGAGCGCCAGGTGAAGCCATGCAAGGAACGGATGGAGCACGGAGAAAACTAAGCTAGGAGCGCCAGGTGAAACTAGGTGAGGGACGGCTGGAGCACAGAGCACACTGAGCTAGGAGCGCCAGGAGAAACTAGGCTAAGGAGTAGCGGCCTCCAGCCACGGCGGAACGGTGAACCCAGTGGAGGAACGGTAGGGAACAGGAAACGGACGGTGAGAAAGCCCAGAAACGGCCCGCTAAGACTCGAGGCACGGTAGGGCGTGGCACGCGCCTCGGGAAAACTGTTGTGGCGTGCGCCTCAGGCTACTCTGGCTAACTGTGGTGCGCATGTCGCTAGGGAGGGGTTACTCGCGGTCTGTGGTATGGGGCGCGTGCGGGCTGGGTAAGGGGCGCGCGCGGGCTATGGTGTGGAGGGCGCGCGCGGGCAGGGTACGGGGCGCCCGCGGGCTGTGGTAAGGGGCGTGCGCTGGCTGTAGTAGGGGCGTGCGCGGCTGGCTGGGCGTGGGGCTAGCGCGGCGGCTAGGGGCAGGGCGCATGGGGTGACGCGCGGGCTAGGGGCATTGCGGACGGGCGACGTGACGGGCTGGGACACAGAGCACGGGCGAGGTGACGAGCTGGGGCAGGGCACACGGGCTACGCGACAGGTTAGGGTAGGGCGCACGGGCTACGCAATGGGCTAGGGCAGGGCGCACGGGCGACGCGACGGGCTGGGGCAGGGGCCACGGGCGACGCGACGGGCTGGGGCGGAGGCACGATACGGAAGGTGTGGAGCGCGCGTAGGGGAGGGCTAGGCGCGGAGGGCGCGGAGGCGCGCGAAGCGAGGCTAGGGCGCGGAGGGCGCTAGGGCGCGGAGGGCACTAGGGCGCGTGACGGAGGGCGCGTAAGGCGCGAAGGCGGTCTAGGGCGCGGAGGGCGCGAGGTAGGCTAGGCTAGGCAAGGATTCTAAACCTACTTGTGATACCATCTCAGAAATAGAATGCAACGGAATGCTAAGACTAGGAAAGCAAGGCAGTACAAATACCTGAGACCCTAACTGAGTTGTACTCACTAAGGAGCACCTCATTACAACCTATAATAGATAATAACATTTGACACAAAGGAAGAATACAATGTGAGCGAAGGCATGAGAAAAACATTTATACGAAATGTGTCAATGGTAACGCGGGCTGGTGACCTAGCTAGCGCAATGCTGGCAGCTAGGATCGGGCTAATCCCGTCGCGTAGGCTGACTCAGCCAACTACAGCAGTGACAGGTACAAGTGACGCGCCAAGTGGCAAACGCTACTAGGCTGTAAAGGGCGAAGAATGGTCAAGTGCTGTACGCGTCGTGATGGTGCGTGCGCGGTCAGGCATCCGGAAAATTTCCGTACAGCGCCCACCGAACAAATATTTGTCTGTCTGCCTAAGATCCATACCTTCAAACTCATGATGAGTTTGTTCACATGTTTGGAGCGATCTGCCCAAACCAAACACGTACTACGGTAGATGAAGCTGTGAGAGTATGTAAGTCAATGGGTCTATGTCCATTGACTGTATGTTCATCCCCCCCCCCACCCCCACCCCCCCCCCCCACCCCTCCCCCCCACCCCACCCCCACTCACTAGACCCATACACTACACTCACACACTAGTTACTTCCATGTTCTCAATAACTACATGTTTTCTTAGACTGTCCTGGCAACCACCACTTCGACTACATCATCATCACTATCAGAGTCCTCTTCCTTCTGGAGATGCCTCAACTGTGCCTTATCTTCTTCCACTTCTTCTCTGCCCCCCCTCTTCCCCATCCCCTTTACAGCGCTCCTCATTACCAGCTTAAGGCCCGACTTTGTCCCCTTTTTACTATCCCCAACTGCAGCAACAACCCCCTTTCCCACTCCTGCTCTTCCTCCTGCTGCTGCTGCTCCTCCTGCCTGTGGTGCATGTATTGTGCGAGACCGCAGCACCCGACCATGAGCCGCCTTCAACTTGGCAGCTTCAGCCTCCATTCTTGCCGCGGCTCTCCTTGTCATGATCCCACTTTCTCGCTTCACCTCTCTTTCCTCTCGCTTCACCTCGCTTTCTTCTCGCTTCACCTCGCTCCCTGCACCTGCTCCTGTGGCTATCTCAACAAGTGACCCTCCCTTTATACCCCATATACTTGAACCGCCAAATGTCTTCTTCCCACAAGTCGTTGGTGTATTTTCCGTCTTGACTTTCACCTGCCCTTTCCGCCTTAGGCCTTCTTCCTCTTTTCTCTCCACCTCTCCCTCGTCCACCTCCACACCCTCCTCCTCCTCCTCCTCTACTGCAGTCATCTTGGTCCACTCGATCTCCGATACTCCCTCCACCTCCCCCTCCTCCCTCTCCTCTTTCACTTGCACCACCGTTCTGCACACCTGAATCTCCACAACATCCTCATTGTCCTCCTCTTTCTCCTTCTCCTCCTCTTCCTCCTCCTCCTCCTCCTCGTCTTCCTCCTCTCCCTTCCTGATCACACATTCCTTCTTCCTTGCAAGTCCTTGTTTCCGTCCCCTCGTCTCCACCGCACTCCTCTGAACCTCCCGCTTCCTCTTCCGCGCCTTCTCATTCCCATCCTTACACTCTTCTATCAACGTCACCTCACTCCCCTCCTGTCCCCCCTCCTCCTCACATCCTCCCTCTTCATCTCCCTCCCCACTCTCTCCTGCTCCGTCACTCCCTCCCTCCGCTTCACCCCCCTCCTCACTGCCACTTCCCCCCTCCTCACTGCCACTTCCCCCCTCCACCCCTCCATCCGCCCGTGCTCCTGTGCTCTCCCCATCTTTGACCATCCTGTTGAGCATGAGATAGTGTGCAACCGACTGGTAACCCGCACCCCACACCTGCAGGGCGGGAGAGCACGAGGAGCAAGAAGGGACGTGTGGAATGGGATGGGAGGAGCAAGGATGAGCGGGTGGGTGGGCGAGGGAGCGGGGCAGAAAACATATCACATCCGTGTGAACTGTCCCATTTCATCCATGTGAGCTGCCCCATCCCATCCGAGTGAGCTGTAGCAGTACCTTCAGAAAGAACGGTCCAGTGAACCCCCATCCCTTGCGGTCGACTCCAAGCCCACCTTTGTGCTGTAAGCACAAGCTTACCACGTATATGGTTACCACTAGAGAGATGTAGCGTTACCTTGTGGAAGAGCGGGCCAGTGGGCCTCCATCCCTTTGCGGTTTCTGCAGATGGAGCAGTTGCAGATGTTCCGACACACCGGGCGGCTGTAGGGCAACCAGATAGCCTGCTACTGTTACCTTGTGTGAGGAACAGTACCTTATGAAATAGTGGCCCTGTTGGTCCCATCCCTTGCGGTTCCTGCACATGGAGCAGTTGCGGATGTCCCGACACACCGGGCACTCCCACGCGGGGTTGAAAGGAAGTAGGGCAACCAGAAGGCTGTTACACCTTGTGGTGAGGCTACCCTGTGAAAGGGAACCCGAGGGACAGTACCTTGTGAAAGAGAACCCGAGGGACAGTACCTTGTGAAAGAGAACCCGAGGGACAGTACCTTGTGAAAGAGAACCCGAGGGACAGTACCTTGTGAAAGAGCGGTCCAGTGGGCCCCCATCCCTTGCGGTTTCTGCAGATGGAGCAGTTGCAGATGTCCCGACACACCGGACATTCCCACGTGGGGTCAGCTAGCGCCTCCTCTATGTTCTCGCCGTACCTGGAAGGGAAGGGGGACGGGAATGGAATAAAGGAGAGATAGATTGGTTGGTCGATGTGCACAGGGCATAGCAAAGAGGCACTTTTGAAATCTCTCAAAAGCTCCACATGGGGTCTCCGGGTCACCTAGGACGTCTTCTTTGTTCTCAAATACTCCCACCTCATTTGTTCATCTTTGAGACGTCTCAAAAATACACATTTATCAGCAGCTGCCTCCGGGTCACCTAGGACGTCTTCTGTGTTCTCAAATAGTCCCACCTCATTTGTTCATCTCGTTTAGTCGCATGCTGACTCTTACATCAGAATGTTTCACCTCGTCTCACCTCATATAGTCTCAACCACATATCGTCTCACCTCATATAGTCTCAACCACATATCGTCTCACCTCATATAGTCTCAACCACATATCGTCTCATCTCATATAGTCTCAACCACATATCGTCTCACCTCACAAAGAGACAGTCAAGGTAACAACACCCAAGGTGGCACCACCCGCTCACCTTACGAACACGCAGTCTCCGCAGAACTGCCCGCACACTGAGCGATCCTTGCACGCCGCACACTAACTGAGTTGATAGCCCCACACATCTCACCTCATACAATCTCCCCTAATATAGCCTCACCTCACGAACAGGCAGTCTCCGCAGAACTGCCCGCACACAGAGCGATCCTTGCACGCCGCACACTCGGTGCGCAGCCCCAACGTCTTCTGCCTGTAAGGAAAGGGGGAGGTGCAGAGGAGGAAAAGAGGAGGTGCAGAGGAAGGCAATGCGGTGGAGTATATCGGCTTGCAGGTTAATCCTTGCACGGCGCACAATCGGTGCGCAGCCCCAACGTCTTCTGCCTGAGAAAAGGCAGAGCAGAAGGGGACGGGTAGGGTTTTAGGGGAGGAAGCTAGGAGAATGAAACGGAGACATTTTTTTGAGACGCCTCAAGACTACTAGTGGTACCATTTCCAGTCGATACCTGCATTGGTGGCATGTCTTTCCGTTAACAGGGTCATACACCCTCGTCTTGAACCGCTCAACGTTGATGTCTTACAGCTTCCATTCCATGATCTTCCATTCCATGTTCTTCCATTCCTGATCCGATTACTTGCATTGGTGATACGTCTTTTCATTAACAGGGTCACATATCCATTCAAAGGATTTCCTTCTTGTTCCATGCCTGCATTTGTGACAAGTCTTCCTATTTACAGGGTCATAGATCCTCATCTTGTATCACTCAACGTTGATGTCATAAGGCTTCAAGTGGCGATTATCACTCTGTGCTCTTATTTATTGGTGACCGCCTTCCCATTACCATGGTGATAAAGCCAATCAAGGGGTTTCCTTCCTGTTCCGTACCTGCATTGGTGGCATGTCTTCCCATTCACAGGGTCATAGACCCTGTTCTTGAATCGCTCAACGCTGATGTCATACGGCTTCACATGCCCTCGAAGCTTCCTCAGGTCTTCCTCCGTGTACACCTCCTTCCCGCACTGAACCACCGTCCCAGCCTCGGCCGAGCCTGCCGAGCCCATGGGACGAAGCTGCCAGGCTCGGGTTCGGCGTGTAGTGCTGCGCTCTGGCGTTTTGTCGTCCAGCTCGATGTATTGGGTTACAGGGGAGTTCTGAAGCCTGGTGGATGGTGGGAGTGGGGGGAAGGGGGATGATGGAGCAGAAGAAAGGGGAGACGGGAAAAGCTATTTAGTGCTGCGCTCTGGCGTTCTCTTGCCCAGCTCGATGCATTGCGTAGCAGGGGAGTTCTGATGCCTGGTGAGAGGGGCGCGGGGCGATGGGGGAGGGACAGTGACAAGGTAGACAGAACGGGGAAGGAAAGGCAGAGTGGTTCAGTGCGGCGCTCTGGCGTTCTCTTGTCCAGCTCGATGCATTGCGTAGCAGGGGAGTTCTGAAGCCTGGTGAGAGGGGCGCGGGGCGATGGGGGAGGGACAGTGACAAGGTAGGCAGAAGGGGGAAGACAAGGCAGAGCGGTTCGGTGCTGCACTCTGGCGTTCTGTCGTCCAGCTCGAGGTATTGCGTAGCAGGGGAGTTCTGAAGCCTGTTGAGAGAAGGGGGGGTTGGGAGTTTGTGTGGAAGGGGGAGGGGACAAGTGGGGGGGTGGGAGATTGGGGAGGAGGGCGGAAGGAGGAAGATGGGGGTTGTGTGCGGTGCTGCGCTCTGGCGTTCTTTCGTTCAGATCGAGGTACCGGGTAGCAGGGGAGAAGGGGAGCGGCGGAGAAAGTGGGGGAAAAGAAAGGGGGTAGAGTGGGCCCGAGGGGCACAGAAGGGGGAAGACAGGGCAGAGGCGTTCAGTGCTGTGCTGCTTTGCTCTCCTCTCTAGCTCGTGGTATTGGGCAGCGGGAGGGGTCTGTAGTATGGTGAGAACGGCGTTGTCGAAACGTATTAGAATCTAGGCGGACGTGCGCGGTACAACTTCTAAAACGCCTCAAAATACTTCTGCGCGGCACGTGCAAAAACAGCTCATGATTGGCGGCGATGATGAGGAGTCTCGAAGCCGCGTTTGGAAATGTGCGAAGGAGTCACATGCTGGATCGACGAACTTCCGCGAAGAGCTTTCGCCGCGTCCACAACCAGCGAGGGTATCGCTGATGCGCTGCTTCTGCGACGCTTCTCAAGCTTCGAGTTTCTTCAAGTTTATAGATGCCTCAAGTTTTCAGACGCCTGGAGAGTAAAAATGCGCGAAAGAATCACCTGCCGGATCGGCGAACTTTGTCGAAGAGCTTTCGCCGCGTCCACGTCCGTCGGGGCTGCTTCTGCTGCTGATTCTCGCCGGCCTGCCGGCGGGTCTCCTGGGTTAAATCCGCCGACAGGCTCTGCAGCTCCGCGAACGCGCGCTGCGTCGCCTGCATTTTCGCCTGCCGCAGCTGCTCGTACGTCATCACGCTGCCTGCAGGCGGCGGTTCGACGGGCGCCATTCGAAAGGAGTCTGGTGGTGCAGCAACGAGAAGCAGGAGCTGTCTTTGAATCTGAAAACTACTCGAAAATGGTGGGGGGCAGAGAGGATTTGTAAGTTGGAGTGGTGAAAGGGGGAGGTGCGGGAAGGGAGAGGGGGGGAGGGAAGTGGTTGGCGGGTGGTGGGTGGCGCGGCGAAAGCATCTTTGGATTCAGAATTTCCGGAGGATCGTGACAATCTCCTGGTTGTCTTGGGATTCTGCTCTTTGGGACTGGGACTTCGCAAGTCAAAAGAATGAGCCCAAATGTTCTGTATGTGTAATTTGAGACTTGATTACGCCCTCAAGTTATGAGGTCTTTGATTTGGGATTTGAAGTGGATAGCTCGAACTGGAATTCAGGGTCGTGGGGGGGGCTCAACGTCTGCGCAGGAATATTTGCGGTAAGGGGGAGGAGGGAAAGATCCATTATTTTGTGGAGGGAAATCACGTGGTTGGTTTGTCAAGGATTTCGAAGCGTCTCCCACATTTCAAAACAATTCTGTACGAGATGCCCATACCTGCCCGACATCATCAAGTCGCGTGTGAGACATGCCGCAGTACCACCATGACGAAGGAATTTGGGTTGGGTGTCCTGTACTGGAAAGGCAAGACCAACCACACACACGATAAAATGTTTGCACTGCCCATAACAGGCTTTCGGAAGGATGTGCGGAGCGGAGAAGCACGTAGTTCCCTTTGATTTTGTGGCGCGAAACTGACGTGGCTGGTTTGTCAGAGATCGATAGGCTCTAAAGGTCGAAGTGATTGGCCGAGGACAAACTCTTTGCCCTTCCCAACAACACATCATCAAACACGATGGAGGAATTTGGGTGCAGTAACGCTATCAACAAAGAACGCCACACAGCGAATGGTTCTGCTTGTGGCGAAAACCATTCACGAAGATAACAGCAGCGACACCACCACCAACGCCAACCATGAAACCAACAGGATGACTTCCACCCCAATGGGCTTCGCAAACAAAGAATCCACCACAGAGAACGCCGGCCCTGTTCGGTAGCCTCCCAGTCGCACTGGACCCACTCGAACTGGGGAACCTTGCGACGGGCAAGTTCGATTTGTTTTTGTTTTCCTCTTTGAACAGCAGGGTAACCTTGTCCTCTTTGAATAGCAGGGTAACCTTGTCCTCTTTGAATAGCAGGGTAACCTTGCGACGGGCAAGTTCGATTTCTGGATTTCTTCAGCTTGACGACTGCTGCTCTATGGGTGGTTTCAGAAGGAAACGAAGAGTGTGCAAGCGGGTGCACGAGATTGGAGAACTGAATACTAGAGAAGCTGATCCCTCTCACGGTGCTGCAAACTTCACTTGATTCAATCGTTTTTTGCCAGTGATTGAACATGGCTTCCTTTCATACCATGCAGCAGGCAGTTCTTAAACTAACGGACTGGTTGCAAGTCAAAGGACAATTTAACGGTCTTCTGGAAGGACTTTTACGCGGAGAATCCGTTCTTCCTGTCCCCGTAGACGGCATGGAGCTCGCTGATTGGTCCCTGGGAACCGCGATTCTGCTTCTTTCGGACGTCCGATCGATTTCGACTTTCCTTTCCGAACATTTCCTCGTCGTCCTGTCTGGAACGGACGTAAAGAAGGAAGAAGAAGGGTTTCCGCCAGAGAAGGACAGACCTCGTATCCGATCTCGTGCCTTGCTTCTCTTAGGATCGTAAACACCTTAGTCGGCAATAGTCTACTTGCTATTGCTTATCGTGTTCTCCACGATCTCCCAAATCCAACGATATGCGCAGCTCTGCTTGAAGTTGTCAATACACACTTCAGCAATTTCCAGAATCTGATTGGTTTCAATGTTGTATTTTCCAGAATGAGTACAAGCAGTTTTATAGTCAAGCAAGACACAAAATGCGATTCGTAACTTCACTTGTTTCCCAAATAACCGCGTGCGCCTCGTTTCACCCCGAGTCGCACACGGAACCGAACCGAATGCACCGAACACTCCTCAAGTCCGAATCTGGAACCTTCTCGAACACGCCTTGAGCTCGAACCACAATTTCCCCTCGTCAACTTAAATCTCGATACTTATTCACTCTTCTTCCTCCATTTCTCTAGTTTCTTCCCGATTTCTCTCTCGCTTCTCACGCCGTAGCTTCCATTCTCCACCGTAGGCCGATTTCCACCGTTTCACCTAGAATCATCCACATGCTTCCATTTCGCCGTCATTCCGCCGTCGTAGAAGCTTTCGCCGTAGGTTCCGTGGTTGGGCGAACCAACCCTAACAATCTCCCCTGTGGTTCGTCAACCACGAACACCACTCGCACTGCTTTCCTGCTCCTTGTAGCATTCACAGGGTCTAAGTCGGCTTCACGCTCCCCTGCAGCTCCTGCACCTTGAACCTCTGCTTACGTGTCTTGAAGTTGAGCGCCTTGATATCCAAACCATGAGGCATCTTCTTAAGCCTCTCGCTTCTCCTCGGAATCTTAGCACCCAACACCTCTCGGGTCTCATACCCCTCAACGTGTTCCTCTTTCGTAAGCACACGCCCCTTTGCAGTTGCATTCACCTTTGATCCCTTCACCATGATGTCCCCTTTCACAGCGACTCCCACACACTTCGCATTTACTGCTTCATCTTCAACCACGATCGCTGCTGCAAAAGTGTTGACACCATCTCCATCTCCACCATTCACTGCTGCTGCCTCCATGGTGACTATCTCCTCTTCCTGCTTCTCTGCTGCCTCCACACTTGCTCCCGTATCATCCGTGTCCTCGCTCTTATCAGCCTCATTCGATAACTCCTCCAATTCTGACCTGAATGTCATGTGACGCGTGCATCCGCTGTCCATGAACCATGCCGTCTTCTCATGATCGTCCGTCTGCCGAACCTCCTTTGGTAAACGCACCACGTTCGCACGATGCGCTCCTCCAAGGATCATATCATCCTCGTTCGCTTCTGCTACATTCGCCTTAGCCGCCACATTCCTCTGCTGCGACGGACCCTTGTAGCTCCTGCTGTTCGGATTGGAGTAGCACTCTGCGGCACGATGCCCATAGCGCCCACAATAATCGCACTTGCCGCCAAAAACTCGTTTATGCTGCCACTCCGCTCCCTCATTTTCTCCTTTATCGTTCTCCATCGCTTTGCCCTTGTAGTTTCTGCTTCGCGGGTTTTCGTAGCAGTTTATCGCCTTATGCCCCCTCTTTCCACACTGGTAGCACGCTCCAAACGCCTTTGTCGCATTCACCATAGCCGACCTTTCCTCGTCGAATTCCGTAGCTGCTACTGCCGCTTTCTTTTTCCTCATCTCCTTCACCGTCTCAAGCGATTGCAGGATCTCCCACAGCTTCGTCAAACTCTCCGGCGGTTGGTACGTAAACATACCGATGTCGGATTCCCATTCTTTAGGAAGGCCTTGGATGATATAGTCAATCATCTCGTGCTCCGTCTCCGCGGCTCCCATCACCCGCAAATCGTCGTTGTAGCTTTTCGCCCTGTTGATGTAGGTGATGATTTTCTCGCCTTTCTCCATGCTCAGCATCAGGAGTTGCTTCCGTATCGCCTTCTTGTTGACATCGTTCTTGCCCATGTACGTGGACTCCAGGTACTCCCACGCTTTCTGTGCAGAGTTCAGCTCCCCTGCAAACTGGTCCAAATCCACCGCGATTCCATCGGCAACTGAGTGACAAAGCTGAAAGAACGCTTGCTTACTTTGTTTTTTGAACGCCGCTATTTTCTCCTTCGTATCCGTCGTGGAAGGCGCAACTCCCTCCATCGTCTCCTCGTCGGGACGGTAGTACGGCAAGAGGTCAACCTCCTCTGCCCTCCGAATAAACTTCTTCCGCCACACGTTGTAGTTGCTTCCATTGAAGCGCTGAGCTTCACTGAGCCCGATCGTCGGTTTCGCCACCAATCGGCCACTCGCAAGGGCCTCGAGAAGAGCCTTCAACTGCGGGTCTCCAAGACTCACACTGGAACCCGAACTCGCCTCGTCTCCCATAGCGTAGGCGTGAACGACTCCTCTTCTCCACTAATTTCACTTAGCGCACCAAGTGAATTCGCGACGATCGACGAGCCCGTTCGTCAAGCTCTGATACCAGTTCTTAGGATCGTAAACACCTTAGTCGGCAATAGTCTACTTGCTATTGCTTATCGTGTTCTCCACGATCTCCCAAATCCAACGATATGCGCAGCTCTGCTTGAAGTTGTCAATACACACTTCAGCAATTTCCAGAATCTGATTGGTTTCAATGTTGTATTTTCCAGAATGAGTACAAGCAGTTTTATAGTCAAGCAAGACACAAAATGCGATTCGTAACTTTACTTGTTTCCCAAATAACCGCGTGCGCCTCGTTTCACCCCGAGTCGCACACGGAACCGAACCGAATGCACCGAACACTCCTCAAGTCCGAATCTGGAACCTTCTCGAACACGCCTTGAGCTCGAACCACAATTTCCCCTCGTCAACTTCAATCTCGATACTTCTTCACTCTTCTTCCTCCATTTCTCTAGTTTCTTCCCGATTTCTCTCTCGCTTCTCACGCCGTAGCTTCCATTCTCCACCGTAGGCCGATTTCCACCGTTTCACCTAGAATCATCCACATGCTTCCATTTCGCCGTCATTCCGCCGTCGTAGAAGCTTTCGCCGTAGGTTCCGTGGTTGGGCGAACCAGCCCTAACAGCTTCTGATCCGATTTACTACGGCTCCGATTCCGAATCTGACGGTCGAGGAGGCCTGGATTGCCAAGATCCATCTGGGACCGTCGAATCAGCTCGTTCGCATCCATGGCGTGGTTTACTTTGCGTCATTAACACGAAAGATATCCAACCCCTGCTCTATTAATCAAGCCAGAATGGAGTGAGCATGAGTGAGCGACAGCTGCAATTACTTGGGATGCTGTACAGGAAGGCTGGTACACCTGGATTTTGCATCTGGGAAACATGCTTCAGATACAGTCCTCTTCTCTTCTTTCATAGTTTTTTCTGTCTTGTAAAATGTTTTCCTTGACCGTTTTTATTTTCGTCCATGGAATAATATCCTCCCACCACATTATCTTCATGAGGAGGATTCAGTGCCAGACATGCGGGCGAGTGAAGGACGTGTGGTGGACAGATGACGTTGCATCCCAAGTCCTGTGTTGCCCTTCGAATTCCTTCAGTGAAGACCTGTCACGGCGAATCGAAGCGGAGTTGCAGGTAAGTCATAAATGATTTGCTTCAGTCGTTTCATTTGACATAAGTCACATTTGTCGCATCTACTGACGTGTGAAAAGCTTTCAGGATGTCGTATTGGGGCCTATACCCACTCTTAGAAAAAGCGATCAACGCTTTTCAAGGCCTCCACTATTTCACGTGCTTCTGCTTCATGATCTAGCCGGCAGGCTCCACGTGGGTGCTCTCTGCGATGTGATTGGACACACGTGGAGTCCAGGTTCATCTTATCAGCTACCTCCCAATACCCAGATCTTTGATGCTACAAGAATCTTTGCTAACAATCTGATTTCAGGCGAAGAAACGGTCCGGTCCAAGCCAAAATTTGCTAACCCCATGGGGAAATTGTTTGGGATTCATGACATGAAAAAAGTTCCTTCCAGCCCGAAAGTTTCTTCCAGCCAGTTGGCTTCTAGCAGCCCGACTTGCTCCCAGTCTGACAGCCTCCTTTCCCAGAATCCCTTCCTATCTCAGTCCCAATTTGTTTCGCAAACCCAAGACTGGCACAGCATCCCAAATCCTGTCACATCACCACCAGATGAGGGTTTGTCTATCCTCATCCGACTAGCAGATTCCTTGAAGAGAGAAATTGTCATCAATCTCGCTGGAAGTGCTCTGGGAATCACAAGCCCTGAGGGAATTGCAGGGCTCTCAGATTCAGATGCATTTGCAATCCCAGAGCTTCTCCCTCTTGCTCTCCTCCTCAGCCTGGTCTCAGCTCCTGGTAGCACCCCTCTCCCGTCCCAGTCCCACACTCCACTCCAAGCCATTTTAGGGAAAACCGCCACTTCAAATCTCCACCACCACAACCCCCAGAACTCCGCCCATCACCGACGTTCCAAGATCAACATCCTCTTGACATCCAACGGCCGATGTCCGATCCTGGAGAGGTCCCTAGAAGTTGCCACTCAGCTAGCCAGGCGAAGCATCCGGCATGTCATGGGCTTGCAACCCCCAAGAGGCCGCCACCTCCTAGGAAAGAAACTCTCTGCAAAATCCGACGAGCATTTCCTTCCCAATTCCGGGATGGATGGCTTGTCTGCTGGAAGCTTAGCCCTGGGGAGCTCTGGGATTGTTCTGACGGATGTTTCCAAGGGGTTGGTGCGGTTGGATGCGGCTGTGCTGCTGAGCCAAGCCATGGACTGGCATAAGATCGTCGGGGGAGCTGCTGGGATGGCTGTGGGCTGCGGGACGGTATGGGCGACGTATTTTGGTGAGGAGAACCGGTCAGGAGGCGGGCAGCACGCCTGTTTGACCTCCAACAGTGGGACAAAGGAAACAGCTGCTCGGCTGGCATCAGGGCTGCCTGGGCCTGTGCTTGCAGATCTGATCACTGCAAAGAAAGACGCTCCTCTGGCTAGAATTCTGCCGAAATTCGACATTGTGCTGTCGCCTGCGAATTCCTCTGGCGGTGCTCCCGTCATTGGTGGTATCGCTGGCGTTGCCGGTGCTGCTGGGATAAAACGGAAAAAAGGTGGCAGGAAAGCAGGCGGAAATTCCTTCCTGGATGGAGCAGAGGAGGTGGATTCATGGGATACGGAGCTGCCTGCGTTGATGACTATGGCTGAGATGCAGAAACACGTGGAGGCTGCTAGCAGAGTGGCAGTGTCGCCTTGCTTCTCAGAGGAGGCATGCAGTGTGCTGCATGCTTACTACCTTGTGATTCGCCAGGCCAAGGTGGACCAGGATGTTGGGGACGTGTCGCTGCTGACTCTGGAGAGCCTCATTCGAGTTGCCATCTCGTGTGCCAAGCTATGCATGAGGTACGATATTGCTCTTGACACATGAATCACCCCGCGGATGCACTTCCGTGCACCCACTGTTAAGGCCCCTCTCATTAGCTGCTGCTGTTCCCTTCTTTCCTGTTCGCACTGTTTCAAAGCTCATTACACTGCAGGCAGAGTGTAACGAAGAGTCTATTTGTGCTGGTTGCCACTCTACTATCCCCACACTATGCACTTCAAATAAAACCCTGCTGCTGTTCCTAACTTCATGTCCGTACTTCTCTTTGATATCCATCACACTTCAGGCAGAGCGTGGTGAAGAACCCAGACGTGCTAGTTGCCATTCTACTATCTGAGCATACCTTCATGGCAAAGGTATGCTGTGCTTCACGTTTTTCTGCCCTGAAACAAAGGTGTCCCTCGGTCCAATTTTCACTTCCCATTAGGTAGTGGTGCAGATATAGTTTGTTTTAGACGGTGATGCTTATTCTAACGTTTTGTGGTGTCTCTGTTTCCTGATGGCAGCATGGTTTTCCCCTCGTGCCTTCGCTTGCATCCAAGCTGCGACACCAGCCACTGGATGTGGTGCTGGAGGCCTTTCAGAGCGACCTGGAGCACGTCATGCCTCACATGGACACAGAGAATGAGAAGCAGAAGCACGAGGAACAGACGATGAGGATTAGACATCCGCATATCAGACAGCCAGTCACCAGCCACTGGATGTGGTGCTGGAGGCCTTTCTGAGCGACCTCGAACATGTCATGCCTCACATGGACACGGAAGAATGAGGACGAGAGGAATGTGTTGTTATTGAGAATCACGTTCCTGTGCGTTGCCTCCAGCCATTCAATGTGGTGCTGGAGGCCTTCCAGATCGACCTGGAGCATGTCATGCCTCACATGGACTCGGAGGAATGAGGATGAGATGCACGAGGAACAGAAGAAAGAGAAGAAGTTTCATTTTCATGCTCTCCCACCAGCCAACCACACTGGCCACTGGATGTGCTGCTGCTGGAGGCCTTCCAAAGTGACTTGCAGCATGTCATGCATGCCTCACATGGATGCCAAAGAATGAGAAAGAGAAGTATGTGCGCATGGAGGTGGTTTTATGCATTGCATCGCCTTGGTATGTCATGGCCAATATGCACATGAAATAACGAGGACCAGAAGATTGTGAGGGGGCAGGTAGAGTGAAATGCACTTTCTCCATGCTGGTCCTGTCTTTCATTTCATGCTCTTTTCTGGAAAACGTGCTATGAGACGAATGTGTGCTTCTAGTCCATCCGCCACCTCTACAGTGAATGCAAACGTACCACTTTGATATCGAACACGAGCGGTGCTCCATACACACAACAATTACAAGCGTGTGCCTCATTGCGAGGACAGAGTTACCATGAGATAAATTCAGGAATGGATGTCCACACCGCACCAGATCAGATGCCGGAAGCTCCTCAAGCTGCTCCTAGATTTTCCTCCTCGCTTCGCGCTCGAGCATAGTAGCTATCTCGAATGTCGATGACGCCTGGAATTCCCGCTTTCCTACTCAATGTCTCCTCGCTTCCCGCTACAGCAGCGAGTGAGCCTCCGTTGCTCCTCCGCGGTCACCGTTCGAGTCCGCTGTCAAGAAAAGCCAATGTGACTCTAACTAAGGAAAAGCGCGATTGCAGCGGATGTGCTAGAAAAGGGAGATTTACTGTTCGGTCGATGCAGTACAATCGGCTTGGCGAGTCGGACCTGGTGGTGTCGCGCATTTGCCTCGGCACCATGCTTTTTGGAGAAGCGCTGAGGTGAGAGTGCCTATAACGTGAAAATAAGGTCTTTAATGAGCGTGTGCAGGCAATTCGTTAGGCGTATATGGTCTGCTTTGGGATCAACGCTGTTTGGAGAAGTGCTGCGTTTAATGTGACTGTAACGCGAGTGACTGTAGCGCGCTCTCTTAGTGTGTCAGTAAACTAATTGGTTAGCGAGTGTGGTTGCAAGGCGGGTGGTAAGTGATGTGGCACGTCTTAACTCTTCAACCCTCTACCGCTCCCCCTCTCCCCCCAACCCCCAGCTACCAGGATGCATCGGCACAGCTAAGCAGGGCTGTGGAGGGAGGGGTGAACTTCTTTGATACGGCTGAGATGTACCCTGTGCCGCAACGGGCAGAGACGCAGGTGAATTTCTTGACTGGGGTTGACGTTATTCACCTGGCTCTAATGTATTGACCCAGTTTGATTCGGTGAGTCGGTGTAAAGGTGGAGGGAGGGGTGAACTTTGTTGACACGGCTGAGATGTACCCTGCGCCTCAAAGAGAAGAGACACAGGTAAAATTGACCTGGTTTGACTTTCTTGACTTGAAAAGTTAGCACCCAAGGCAGGGAAAGGGGGAGGGAGGGGTGAACTTCGTTGACTCAGCTGAGATGTACCCTGTGCCGCAACGAGCAGACACACAGGTTAACTGCTTTGATTCGACTGACTTGCTTTGATTTGGTGAGCTAGTGCAGAAGGCGGGCAGAAGGGAAGGGAGGGTTGAACTTCTTTGATACGGCTGAGACGTACCCTGTGCCGCAAAGGGCAGAAAGGCGGGTGACCCTGACTTTCTTGACTTAGTTTGCCATTGCTTGACTTAATGATCGTCCTCAAGGCAGCTAGAGGGGGAGGGAGCAGTGAAACGTTTTTGACACGGCTGAGATGTGCCCTGTGCCGCAAAGGGCGGCGACACAGGTGACTTGCTTGACTTGCGTTGACTCTCCTGCCCAGTTTCCAAGCACACACCACCACCACGTCACCACCAGGGTCTTTGATGTCGGTTCACGCGTGCTTTCCCCACTCATATGAGAGCCAAAGGGCCACCATTAGGGCCAAAGCGAAGAGTACCCGAAGCGGTGACTCACTGCTTCTGTCATTCCGAAAGGCAATTTCTCACCATTCAATACCATCACTCGGAAATTGCCCTACATGGCAATTTCTCAACCCCTTTCCTCTCTTTTTGATTTCCTCCGTCTGCCTCTCCCCTCACGTGTCCCCACACACACCCCAGTCTCAGTGAGGAGTATCTGGGTCGGTGGATGGCTGCTTCTGGCATTTTAAGAGATACGCCCCCACCACCACCCCAGCACCATGTCCTCGTTTTCCCTCGCATGTGTCCTACACACACCCAGGGTTGAAGCGAGGAGTATCTGGGTTGAAGCGAGGAGTATCTGGGTTGAAGCGAGGAGTATCTGAGTTGAAGCGAGGAGTATCTGGGTTGAAGCGAGGAGTATCTGGGTTGAAGCGAGGAGTATCTGGGTTGAAGCGAGGAGTATCTGGGTTGAAGCGAGGAGTATCTGGGTTGAAGCGAGGAGTATCTGGGTTGAAGCGAGGAGTATCTGGGTTGAAGCGAGGAGTATCTGGGTTGAAGCGAGGAGTATCTGGGTTGAAGCGAGGAGTATCTGGGTTGCGAAGCGAGGAGTATCTGGGTTGCGAAGCGAGGAGTATCTGGGTTGCGAAGCGAGGAGTGGCGGCCTTTGGAATTCCGAGAAGCAAGCCCTCCCTCCCTCCCAACCACCATGTTCTCTTTTTCCCCCCTCCGCGCTCCTGCTCGCCCCTCTCCTGTTTTCCCTCCACGTGTCCCCACACACACCCAGGGCCGAAGTGAGGAGTATCTGGGGCGGTGGATGGCTGCTTCTGACATTTCAAGAGACAAACTCGTGGTCGCCACCAAGGTGGGCTTTAAGAGGCTTTCATCTGGGTTTTATGAGAAATTACGGGTTACAAATGGGTCACTACGGTGGGCTTTAACGCTTTCCAGCTGACGTGTGGCATTTGGAACGCGTTAAAGCCCACCGTATCTCCTCAGTTCAGATGATGGGGGGCTCATCCCCCCTTCTCGCAAGGTGGATACGAGAAGGGGGGACTATTGCGACGTCTCAAACGTCCTCCCTTTCCGCCTCCCCTTCCCCCCTTCAGAAATGCTTCAGGTGGCAGGCCCATCTACGCAGATATCGTGGATAAGAGGGGGGCCTTGTGCCTAGACCCCGGTTAACATCACATCCGCCATACACTCCAGCCTGCAGCAGCGCCTGCACTGTGACTATATCGATCTGCTGCAGCTGCACTGGCCCGATAAACCCTAAATGCCTACATTCAAGTACTGCGAATGATCCCCCTCCCTCATCTCCACTCTCCCCTCCATCTCTCCCTTCTCCGTGCACCTCCCCATTCAGGGTTCCCTCAGGTGGCGGGTCCATCAGCTCAAATGACGTGGATAAAAGGGGGGGCCTTGTGCCCTAGACCCCGTTAACATGGCTGCTCTCCTCCCTCCCCTCCCCTCCCCTCCCCTCCCCTCTCCCCCCCCTTCAGGGACCTTTCAGGTAGCGGGCCCATCGGCTCAAATGGCGTGGATAAGAGGGGGCCCTTTTGCCCTGGACCCCGTTAATATCACATCCGCTATAGACACCAGTCTGCAGCGCCTGCAGTGTGACTATATCGATTTGCTGCAGCTCCACTGGCCCGATCGCTACGTGCCCATGTTTGGCGACTGGGAGTTTGACCCCCGATGTGACTATAACGAGTACAGCTCGTTTGAAGCACAGCTGGAGGCTCTAGGAAGGGCAGTGGACGCAGGTAGATCTGAGTGTTCAGGGGTTTGGGTTTGGGTTTTGGGTCTCCTCCTCTGCTCTTGTTCCCTCCAGCCATTTCCATCCAGAACGCCTATTCCCTTCTCTGCCGCACATTTGACTCCACCCTAGCTGAATCGTGTCACCACGAGCACCTTCCCCCACTGTTGTGTTTTGAGACGTCTCAAAAGACTCCAAGGGCTCACTCTCCGCCGCTAACCTTAACTTCCCCCCACTCCCCCACTCCCCCACTCCCCCCACATCCCCCCACTTCCCCTCACTCAACCCCTCCCGCTTCCCCCTTATCCCAGGGAAAGTGCGGTACATTGGACTCAGCAACGAGACAGCATGGGGATTGGGAAAGTTTCTGGAAGCTGCCAGCCAGCCTGCAACTCCCTCCTCCTCCTCCTCGTCTCCTCTCTGCCCTCGCCCGATCGCCCTGCAGAACGCCTATTCCCTGCTCTGCCGCACATTTGACTCCACCCTAGCTGAATCGTGCCACCACGAGCACATTCCCCTGCTCGCATACAGCCCTCTGGCCATGGGGCTGCTCTCGGGTAAATACCACTGCAGCCCCCAAATGTTGTCGGGTAAACACCGCTCTAGCCCATCAGCATACCCTGCCACGTCAGCCAACGCTGACACATCAGCAGACGCTGCCACGTCAGCATCGATTGACACAGTACTACTCCTGGCCCAATCTCTGGATCTCCACCAAAGCTCTGATCCAAAAACCAACAACAACAGAATCTTTCAGGATCCTTCCTGGCGCTTAGTTAAATACCGGAACCGATACGCAGAGGCAGAGGGCCGGTACCCAATCAGCAACCCCCGGGTGGCGACAGCTGTCAGGGCGTACGCTGATGTGGCGAGGCGGTTCCACGTGTCACCCGTACAACTGGCACTGGCGTTTGTGCTGGCTCATCCCCTGGTGGGGGCTGCGGTTGTGGGGGCATCATGTTTGCAGCAGTTGGAGGAAATTCTGTCAGCTGTGGGGGAGGGGGGAGGGGGGCGGGAGTGGGAGGGGAGAGGGGATAGAGTTTACTGAGGAGATGCGTGCTGCAGTTGACGCGGTTCATTCTGTGCTGCCAAACCCCACCCCTTAATTTTGGCGACTGTAAGGTTAAATCAGAGATCAGATCTCATTGTCTCTGCTCGCACATCCCTTGGTTGGAGCTGCGGTTGTTGAATCTCTTCGTGTTTGGATGGAGCAGCTAGAAGAGGTAGTGTCGGTTGTGAGGGAAGGGAGAGGGGGAAATGGAGGGGGCGGCGAAGGGGGAAAGGGAAAAGAGGGGATAGAGTTTACAGGGGAAATGAGGGCTACCGTTGACGCCATTCATGCCATGCTGCCAAACTTCACCCCGTAATTGTGGCTATGAGCAATCCTACAGAACCTCTTTGTCGCTGTTGCTGCTGCTGCTGCCAGCTCAAACCGCCACTCCTAGTCTTGGCGCGGTGTGGTGTCGTGTAGAGTGTTGGCCTCACTTGTAATCAGAAAGGAAGGCAAGGGAGGTCGGGTGCAGTGCAGCGAATTGGACGCTGCACCTTGCTTGCATCCTTCATCTCCTTTGTGTTATTGAGTGGTTCAATGTACAGTTACCATACCAAGCCAGAGCTTTGAAACCGCCTTCTTGTGTGGTTACATTCGATCTCAAGGCAACCAGCCAGGGCTGATCTGCCAGCAATATTACCATTGTATACTATACCCATTATGATGTTCACCATTATTCTCTATTGCTCTTGTAATGAGTGCGCTACTGCCAGCATGGCCACTGCAGCGGTCTCCTCTCCACCCGCAGCCTTCGTTGATTCGATTACAGCAAGTCAACTTCCTTGCTCTTGTAGTGAATGTGCTAGTAGCGAGACCCCTGCCAGCATGGCCACTGCAGCGGTCTCAACTCTCAGCCTCTGCAGCCCCAAGCTCACTGCCCTTGCCCCTGCTGCTTTCAGAGCCTCTAGTTCTGATGGGGTGAAATCTGCAGGATAGGTGGAAGGGGGAGTGTGGAGGGAGCGTTTGGTAGTTGAGTGGTTAAAGAGAACATAAATAGGCACATGAGAAAGGTCTCTGCAGCCCCAAGCTCACGAGGTGACTTTTGAGTCGACTCAAAAGTCACTTTGTGTGGGGGGGGTTTGGTCGTTGAGTGGTTAAAGAGAACATAAATAGGCACATGAGAAAGGTCTCTGCAGCCCCAAGCTCACGAGGTGACTTTTGAGTCGACTCAAAAGTCACTTTGTGTGGGGGGGGTTTGGTCGTTGAGTGGTTAAAGAGAACATAAACAGGCACATGAGAAAGGTCTCTGCAGCCCCAAGCTCACGAGGTGACTTTTGAGTCGACTCAAAAGTCACTTTGTGTGGGGGGGGTTTGGTCGTTGAGTGGTTAAAGAGAACATAAACAGGCACATGAGAAAGGTCTCTGCAGCCCCAAGCTCACTTCCCGTGCCCCTGCGACTTTCAGAGCCTCTACTTCTGATGGGGTAAAGCCTGCAGAGTGGCAGGAGGTGTGGGAGAAAGGAGTTTGGTGGTTTGGTGGTTGGAGAGAAAATAGGTCTCCACCCTCGGCCTCTGCAACCCCAAGCTCACTGCCCGTGGCCCCGCTGCCTCGAGTGCATTCGATACCGATTGGGTGAAATATGAAGAGGAGAGAGTGGGGAGAGAACGGGGAGGGTTCTTGGTGGGAGGAGATGGACAGATGATTCTAATGGTGCGCGTATGGGCGCACAAAGCAAACCAGGGTGGCCACTGCAGCGGTCTCCACCCTCAGCCTGTGCCACCCCAAGCCTATTTTGAGACGTCTCAAAACAGCATGGCCACTGCAGCGGTCTCCACCCTCAGCCTGTGCCACCCCAAGCCTATTTTGAGACGTCTCAAAACAGCATGGCCACTGCAGCGGTCTCCACCCTCAGCCTCTGCCTGCCACCCCAAGCCTACTGGCCGTGCCCCTGCTTCCCTCAGAGCCTCTATATTCGATGGGTTAAAATCTGTAGCAGGGAGGGTGGGTGGAGAGAGTTGTGGTTGTTTCTTAGGCCGACCCAGCAGCCTCTGCAGCCCCAAGCTCACTGCCCATGCTCCCGCTGCCTTGAGAGCATTCGACTTCTGATGAGGTAATGTCCGCAGGTTTGGTGGGAGGCGTGGAGGGGGTGGGGTGGGTGGGAAGGGTTTTGGAACTTGGGGGTTGGAGAGAGAGCAAAGGCACATGGGTGTATGAGGTCAAGGGGCATGAAGGTCACTGCCCGTGACCTTCATGCACGCTGCTGCCGTCAGCCCCAATACTTGCAACCCATTGGTTCCTTCCACCCGCGGAGCGGACTGCCCGTGACCCTGCTGCTGCCCTCAGCCCCAATAGTTGCAACGTGGGGGTGGAGCGTGGTTGCGGGTGGTGGAGAACAGTCGGGCGGGTGGAGAACAGTCGGGCGGGTGAAGAACAGTCGGGCGGGTGAAGAACAGTCGGGCGGGTGGAGAACAGTCGGGCGGGTGGAGAACAGTCGGGCGGGCATCTCAAACGAAACTCGCATCTCACCTCCTTCAGGGCCCACTATAAGCAGCCCGCCCTTTTGCAGCAAAGAAGGATCCATCGCCCCCACTGCTGCCAGCAGGGGAGGCGAGTTGGGCGCTCCCAGCAGAGCGAAAGGGGCCTGCTGAATCTGCAGGGGAAGGCAGGAGAAACAAGGAAGAGGTAGACAAGAGTGGGTGGGATGCGGCGAGGAGGAGTTGGCGCGGCTCTTTAAACGAATCCAGCATCCAACTGCTGCCAGCAGTGGCAAAGCATTGGGTGCTCCCGAAACAGCCAAAGGGGCCTGATGGATCTACAGGGAGGAAGGACAGGGACGAGGTAGGAGTGGAATGCGGTGAGAAGGAGCTGGTGATTTTCTCAAGGATGGTGAGCAGGGGTAATGAGTCGGGCACTCCCAGCAGAGCCGAATGGGCCTGCTGGATCTGCAGGGAGGAAAGGAAGGACAGAAACAGAAAGGGGGAAATAAAAAAGAATTAGGAGTGAAGGTGACGGGAGAGAGGAGCAGAAGAGAGAGAGGTGCAGAAGGGAGAGAGGAGCAGAAGGGAGAGAGGAGCAGAAGGGAGAGGGGAGCAGAAGGGAGAGAGGTGCAGAAGGGAGAGAGGAGCAGAAGGGAGAGAGGAGCAGAAGGGAGAGGGGAGCAGAAGGGAGAGAGGAGCAGAAGGGAGAGGGGAGCAGAAGGGAGAGAGGAGCAGAAGGGAGAGAAGAGCAGAAGGGAGAGGGGAGCAGAAGGGAGAGAGGAGCAGAAGGGAGAGAGGAGCAGAAGGGAGAGAGGAGCAGAAGGGAGAGAGGAGCAGAAGGGAGAGGGGAGCAGAAGGGAGAGAGGAGCAGAAGGGAGAGAGGAGCAGAAGGGAGAGAGGAGCAGAAGGGAGAGAGGAGCAGAAGGGAGAGAGGAGCAGAAGGGAGAGAGGCGCAGAAGGGAGAGAGGAGCAGAAGGGAGAGAGGAGCAGAAGGGAGAGAGGAGCAGAAGGGAGAGAGGAGCAGAAGGGAGAGAGGAGCAGAAGGGAGAGAGGAGCAGAAGGGAGAGAGGAGCAGAAGGGAGAGAGGAGCAGAAGGGAGAGAGGCGTAGAAGGGAGAGAGGAGCAGAAGGGAGAGAGGTGCAGAAGGGAGAGAGGAGCAGAAGGGAGAGAGGAGCAGAAGGGAGAGAGGAGCAGAAGGGAGAGAGGAGCAGAAGGGAGAGAGGAGCAGAAGGGAGAGAGGAGCAGAAGGGAGAGAGGAGCAGAAGGGAGAGAGGAGCAGAAGGGAGAGAGGAGCAGAAGGGAGAGAGGAGTAGAAGGGAGAGAGGAGCAGAAGGGAGAGAGGAGCAGAAGGGAGAGAGGCGCAGAAGGGAGAGAGGAGCAGAAGGGAGAGAGGCGACGAGCCGATCACGTACCTGCTTTGTGAGGTCTTTGAGAGAGGTGAAGTCGTGGATGTGTTTTGAGACGTCTCAAAACACTTATTTTATCACGAGACGTCTCAGAACACTTATTTTATCACGAGACGTCTCAAAACACTTCTTTTATCACGAGACGTCTCAAAACACTTCTTTTATCACGAGACGTCTCAAAACACTTCTTTTATCACGAGACGTCTCAAAACACTTCTTTTATCACGAGACGTCTCAAAACACTTCTTTTATCACGAGACGTCTCAAAACACTTCTTTTATCACGAGACGTATCAAAACACTTCTTTTATCACGAACCGACCACATACCTGCTTTGTGAGGTCGTTGAGAGAGGTGAGTCGTGGATGCAAGGTCGATGGATGGAGTTTTGGACGACTCAAATGTTGTATACTCACAGCGTGTACTGTGAAACGCGGGATTCTCAACGTACCTGCTTTGTGAGGTCGTTGAGAGAGGTGAAGTCGTGGATGCGAGGTCGATGGATGGACTGGCCTGAGGGGAGAGACAAGGAAATGGAGAGAGGCGAGAAAATGGAGTGAGGCGAGAGGACTGTTGAGTCAAGTTGGAAGTCGAAAGGATGGATGGACTGGCCAGAGGGGCAGATGGGAGAGTGGGGGAAGGGCGAAAGGGAGAGAGGAGAGGAACGTCAGGAAAAGGCAAAAACATGGATGAAAGTGGAGGGGAAAATGTATGTATGTGTGTGCGCGCGCTCGTGCATGTGTGTGCGTGCGTGCATGCGTGCGTGTTTGTGTTTGTGTGTGTGTTGGGGTGTGCGTTCACCCACACAGACACATGCCTCTCACTCTCCCCCACCACTCTGCTTAGCAGCAACCAACGCCACTCGCTCCCTCATGCTAATCAAGTTGTTTTGAGACGTCTCAAAAGAGATTTATTATCGCCCCCTCTTTCTCTCCCCCACTCACTCTGCTTAGCAGCAGCCAGTGCTACTTTCTCCCGTCTACCCACCTGCCCCCCCCCCCCCCCTGACCGCTCCGTGACCAGCGGAATGAACGCCACTGCAGCAATGCTCCCAGGTCATGCATGCACACACCCACACGCTCTCTCCCCTCCCCATGCACTCACTCTGCTTAGCAGCAGCCAGCGCCACTCGCTCCCATCTGTCCACCCGCCCCTCTCCCTTCCCCCCTGACCTCTCCGTGACCAGTGGGATGAATCCTACTGCTCCCAGCTCCTGCAGGCGAGCACACAGTGAGAATGGGAACAGGGAAGATGCTGGGTTGGGGAAGGGATGTACTATGCGGTACTATGCAAACAGTGTCCAGTGGGATGAACCCCGCTCCTCCCAGCCACGTGTATGAAGACTGGTTTTGAGACGTCTCAAAACCAATCTTCATACATGCTGGGTTGGGGAAGGGAGGTAGTATGTGGATACAAACAGTGTCCAGTGGGATGAACCCCGCTCCTCCTAGCTCCTGCAAGAAAGGAAAAAGCCAGGGGACTGGGGAGGGGGAAAATTGGAACGGGGGTGAAAGGGGAGCATATGGTAATTATTCCCCCAAACAGAGGAGGGGAAGAAGGGGCGACGGATGGTGACAGAGGGGGAAGGGAGGTGCAGCGGGTGGATACTACGAGAAAACGCACCATCCGTGGGAGGTGCGCGTTTGGCCCCACATTCTGGTCGTGCATTTTCCAATCAGCCAAACGTGACCGTGCATTTCTCAATGAGCAATTACGATGTGGATGCATGCATTATCTTTGTGTATTTCTCGATCAGCCAATCCTGACCGTGCATTTCTCGATCAGCCAATCAGAGCGGCCACCCTTGAGCGTGCCACAAGCTGCCACCACCGTCCACTGGGGGCCGGAGAAAGGAACCTTCCGGGCAGCTTCCGTGGCCACAAGAACAATGCCCTGCTGGCGGTCGATCGACTCCAATCGGACGGTCACGATGGATCCCTGGCCATCAAACAACTCGGCTCTGTTTAGGATGTGGGATCCAAAAAGATGTGGGGGATGGGGGAGGGGAGAGAGAGACGGGGGCGGGGGATACGTTTGAGGATGGATTGGTGGAAGGAGGGATGCATGGCAGTCAGACTGTGCTTCGTGAAAACCCGCAAAAGCAGACTCAAGCACACTATTCAAATTACCACCAATGCGACTGAAACAGATATTGATGCGAATACTCCCACTGAAAGAAAACTCTGCAAAACCAGACTAAAAGCACATTAACCACCACCAATCCTACTGAATGTTACAGAAAACGATACTACAAAGAAAATGTGGAAGAAGAAATACGCACAGGTCACCGGGTCTGAGGCGCAGCGAGCGACTCATGTGCGACGCCTCGGAGCCCACCAATCGCACAGCACTGCCCTGCCAACATGGCACATTGCCACGTCATCAGATGCTTGCCTGGACGTGACACGTACACGATGATATCTCCCACAGCAAATGAAGGAAGGCAGACTTGGAACAGCAATCGTATCCTCGATATTGGGCTCCTCACCATTAGCAGGGGCAGGCTTTCGGAGAAGAAACGCGGAAGGCCCGAGGAGGAAGGGGAGTAAGAGGCAGAGGTGGAGGAAGAGGGGGAGGACGAGGAAGGGGAAGAGGAGGAGGGAGGAGAAGGCGAGGAGGGATGATGGGAAGGGGATGTTGGGGAGGATTGTAACGAGGATGGATTCCCTGATGTTGCAGCGAGCGTAGCCGTTTTTCTCCGTGGTGGAAGAGACACGTGGCGGGCTACCACTCGCTGCTGTTGCCAGCGCTGTAAGAGGCCGAAGCCAGAGCTTTCTTCCTGGCGATCATATTGACACCCGGGATGAACGAAACTGCAGTTACCAGCGTTAGCTGAATTGGCGAAGCCTGAACTCGTCGCTCGGTTTCGCCGCTGAGCTGCGAAAGACCCGGCGAAACGGCCCAGGAGATCAGCATTAGCCACTGGATCAAAACTCCTTCGCGTGGAGGCTTCGCCGTACGTAGTAAAACGCGCCTCGGCTGACCGACGACCGATCACTACTAAGCTCGGACTCACTACCAAGCTGGGCCTCGCGGCGCTCCTGGTGCTGCCGATGGTACGCGACGGCAGCGACGGCCCCCGTCGCAAAACGCGTGTTTCGACCGATCGAGCCAGTGCCGCTGCGGCGGACATTGCGAGGCTGTACGGACTCGGGGCTGTGGTGAGCGCCGAGACTTAGCGTGAATCAAGGAACAGTACTCGAACGAGGTACCACATGTGTTTTTAATAGACTAGAGGGCATTCACGGTTGCTCCTGTCAGACGACTATCGCGAGGCTGGCCCCTAGCACATATTCAGAGTGACAATAGGATATTGAGCGAAATATAATAATAATAATGAAAGCAGAGCTCACTATTAATCGCATGAAACTGTTCTGGAACCATCCTCACCATTTGCTGCGCAGTCCGTGAATTTGTGCATGAAGTTTTTGGAGGGGATCGAGATGGGCATTTTCAAGGAACCCATGTCGTATTCAGAAATGCGGCACATAAACATCGTTCAAACAGAAAACGAACAGCCCTTTTGGCTTATGAAAATCAGGTACCAGACAGCTTGGACCTTTCAGCGAAAACTATATGTACCGAAGTCTGAAACTCGACGGGATTGCGCCCCCAAACTCGTCTGTCACTGCAGCCAAACCATTTGATTTGACACTGTTCCTGGGAGGGTGGACCTGACCAAAACCAGCATTTTCTGGTCAAGTATCACGGTTTCCTTCGGTCTATTGCGACCGAAAGCGGTTGTTACTTAGAACCGCGTACAATCCCGAGGAAACCATCCGAACCGCATGGGTAGTGGAAAACCGAAGTTCCAGTGTGTTTCAGATTTCAGGACCAAGCCAGACCATTCAGAGAGTATTTGAAGAGTCACCGTAATTTCCGGAGCCGACCAGCGATTCGTGAGGTCGTGAGCCGAGCTCAGGATAGGCGGCTGCTGTGATACTTAGCTGGGCGTTATGTAAGCTGCACTTAGGCTGGCTCTTTTTGTTCCACGCCGTCGCCATTCCTACTGCATTGTGGTCGTTCTCCACGCATCTTGCTGGCAGCGCAGCGCACGAATAAATCGGCTCAAACCAAGCTCATACCGCACTGCAGCGGAAAAACGAAACTTGGCGTGTATTTATTATCCTTCCTCGACGTCAGTCAAGAGAGCATTGAGCGGCTAGTGTACCCGTCAGCCCCTGCACGAAAGCCTCTGCGCGCGCTGATAAGCTATCACCGTTCCGCCTCCAGCATGGCAATGCGGCTGCTGCTCCAGCATGCCGCCCCTCTCGCGTCGTTTCCGCCTGCGCCAGCGCAGCCCGCGCGGGCGCGGAGAACCATCAGCGCAATCCTCCTCGCGCGGGGAACTGTTCCGCGCGCTAATTCGCAAAGCATCAGAATCAGCGGATCAGCCTTGTTCGGCGTTCCGCAAGCGCTTAGTTGTGCCAGGCGCATTTCTGGAGCGCCTGAAAGCAGGCGCAATGCGACCGTTGCAAGCAGGGCCGTCCGCGGACCGGTCCGCGCGGAGGCTTCCGCTTACGCTGGCGGAGGCGGCGGTGAGGCTCAGCGCGCGGAAGCGGAGTGGCGCAACGAGGCGGAGCGTCGGGCGACGTCGCCTATAATGGTAGGGACATAGCAGAGGGAAGGAGACCGCGCATTCATGATAAAAGGCATGCTGTAGATGTATGTATTATGTGTATACATGCATGTTCTGTGCGATGTCACAACTTTCAGCCAAATACCTCTTGCTTGTGGTGTCTAGGTGAATACTGTGAGCAGAGCAATGGGGCTCTTAACGTGTGAGTGTAAGCAATGTGAGTGAAAGATGTGAAATGCGCCCCACCTCCTTTCTTCCCCCTGCACTCTCTGCCTCTCTCCATACTCCCCCGTTCCGCACTCTCCCCACCCACCCACCACTTACTTTTCCCTGGTCATATTTAGCCGTCTACATACCCTCCGTCCTCGGGACTGCTGTTTATGGCAGCAGCGCTGCTCGCTGCATCAGCAGCGGAGGATTCCATTCCATGTAGCCTCCTTCACCCCACCGCCTCTTTCCCTCTCCCTCTCGCCCACTCCCCTTCAGTCCCCCTTCTTTCCCCTTGGTCCCATCCCATCCAACCCTCTGCCCTCCGGCCTCTCATCCTAGCAGCAGCGCTGGTGGCAGCATCAGCAGCAGCGCTGCTCGGACGGGACCCCCTTCGCCCCACCGCCTCTTTCCCTCTCCCATTCCTCGTTCCCGCTACCTTCTCCGCTTTTCATTCCCTCTATTTCCCCCCCTGTCGCCTTCACCCTGTCCCATCCAGCCATCCGCCTTCCGTCCGCTAATCCTAGCAGCAGCGCTGGTCGCAGCATCAGCAACTGCGCTGCTTGGCTGGAATCCCCTTCGCCCCACCGCCTCCCTCCCTCCGCCTGCTTCCGCCGCTGCTGTTCAGGTGTGTTGATGGTGGTGCTGGGTGGTGGTGGTGATGGTGATGGTGGTGGTGGTGGTGGTGGTGGTGGTGGTGGTGGTGATGGTGGTGGTGGTGGTGATGGTGGTGGTGGTGATGGTGGTGGTGGTGCTGGTGTTGTGGTGATGCTGCTGCTGCTCGTTAGGTGCGCTCATGTGGCTTCTTCTACTGCCCTTTCTGCTTCTATTTCCTTTGCTGCTTTGGGAAAGCAAGGGGACTGACTGAGATATCACACATTTTTTCAGGCAGGGCCGATGTTGCTACTGCTTTCCCCCAACCTTTTGCCTCCCAGCCCCCCTCTCCCCCACTTTTTGTTGCCCGATTCCTTCAAGCGTGCAAGCATCTTTTGAGGCGCCTCAAAAGCAGCCCCCCTCTCCCCCACTTTTTGTTGCCCGATTCCTTCAAGCGTGCAAGCATCTTTTGAGGCGCCTCAAAAGCAGCCCCCCTCTCTTCCACTTTTTGTTGCCCGATTCCTTCAAGCGTGCAAGCAAGAGACACAGTATCCTGAAACGTCTGAAATTTGAATCTTCTAAAATCTCTTGAAACCCTCCACCTCCTTCTTCCCCACTCCTCCTCCCACCGACCCCTCCTCCTCGGCACATCCCTCTGGGCGTGCAGACCGACCTCTGGGCCAAACCTCTGGGTTGAAATGGTTCAACCCCCCCCTCCCCCACCCTCCCCGACCGACCCCCCACACCACACACTCATTCGCTCCCTCCCACGCACACTTGGCCTTCTCAGATCCCTCTGGCCGTGCAGGAGGCCAAGCCCCTAGGACACCACTCCAAGTGCCTCTTGAGTTGACCCAGACAGACGCCATCCCTTTTCCCAACCACCCCACACACATTTCGCCCCCCTTCCTCCCCCCTTCGCCTTCTCAGATCCCTCTGGCCGTGCAGGAGGCCAAGCCCCTAGGCCGCCTGTCCAAGCGCGCTCGCCTGCTGTACTGGCTGGACAACCTCTTTGCCACGGAGCCCAACAGCAAGGTGGGTTTGATAAGGAGTTGATTCTTGAGAGCATCAAGCGCATGATATGTGTGCGTCGACCTCCTGAGGTGTGATGTAAGCACCACAGGGAGCGCGCTCGCCAGCTGTACTGGCTGGACAACCTCTTTGCCACGGAGCCCAACAGCAAGGTGGGTTTGATAAGGAGAGTTTAATTGCAGAGCGGTGACTCTTGAGTCAAGATGTAAGTAACACACACAGGACTTGCCTGCTCTGCTCTACTGGCTGGACAACCTGTTTGCTACCGAGCCCAACAGCAAGGTGGGTGGGGGACAGGGGAGAGCTTGTAACGCAGCAGGGAGACGACGGGGTGAGTTGAGGCAGGTAACGCACACAGGACTTGCCTGCCCTGCTCTGCTGGCTGGACAACCTGTTTGCTACCGAGCCCAACAGCAAGGTGGGTGGGGGACAGGGGAGAGCTTGTAACGCAGCAGGGAGACGACGGGGTGAGTTGAGGCAGGTAGCGCACACAGGACTTGCCTGCCCTGCTCTGCTGGCTGGACAACCTGTTTGCTACCGAGCCCAACAGCAAGGTGGGTGGGGGAGGGGAGAGAGAGAGCCTAAAGTGCATGATGTGTGATAGAATTGGAACTTAACTGATTGATTGATAAGGAAGGCACGAGGCCTTAAGTACAAACACGGTTGGGTTGAGCAAAGCTAGGGAGAGGATGGGATGGGAATCCTAGCAAATCTCCAATTGGTGAGTTGGCAGATTTGCAGGATTACGAGAGAATCCCAACCAGATAGGGTTGGGATTACAAATCTACACCCAACCTACAAAGTAACCTAACCGATATAGAATATAGTACAAAGTGTTGACTGACTATTTCTAACACACCCCCTAGGCTGACAACACTTCAGCCACATGGAGGTCCAACACCCATGGACGAGAGGAGGCGGTAGTGGTCTTGGCGAACAAGAGACTTGGTAAACAAGTCAGCAAGGTTGCAGTCGGAGGCAATGTGTTCTGCCTTCAGCTGCTCGCGCTGCACCAGCTCACGAAGAAAGTAGTGACGGACTTCAATGTGCTTGGTGCGGCCGTGGAAGACGGGGTCCTTGGTGAGGTGAATGGTGCTCTCGTTGTCACACCAAAGCGTTGGGGCTGGTTGAGGATACCCAAGTTCTGCCAGCAAGAAGGAGAGCCAACGGGCCTCCTGGGCAGCCATGGTCCCTGCATACAGCTCTGCCTCACAGGTCGACAGTGAGACGGAAGACGACCGAGTGGAGCGCCAACTGACAACCCCACTGCCAAGGGTAAAGCAATACCCTTGGGAAGAGCGCCGATCACTCTGGTCATCAGCATAGGACGAGTCACTGTATCCCTCAAGGCGAACAGGGGAAGAGCCGCTAAGAGTGAGCACATAGTCCTGTGTGCCTTTGAGATAGCGGAGGACCCGCTTGGCGGCAGACCAGTGGTGGCTCGTGAAGCGACCAGGTGCAACGTAGCGAGACAGGACACTGACTGGATAGGCCAAGTCTGGTCGAGTGCACATCATCGCGTACATGAGGGAACCAACGAGCTCGGGGTAAGCCTCATCGCAGGGCTCAGGTGAAGGAACAGAGGGTGCAGTGAGTTGGTGCTGCAGAGAGAGTGGGGTGGGCATTGAAGCTGCTTCCTGCATCTTGAACCTTGTCAGAACGTTGTTGATGTAGAACTTCTGCGAGAGGGTGATGGTGCGGGCAGTGCGATCACGTGTGATTTCCATGCCCAGATAGTTCGTCAGCTTCCCAAGATCCTTCATGGCCAGCTTCTCACCAAGTGCGGCTTTGACTGCTGCCAGCTCAGTCTGATCCTTGGTGACAAGGATCATGTCATCGACATAAACCAAGATGAAGAAGCGGGATGGTGTTGCTCGAATGAAGAGGCTGGGGTCAGAGGTGGATGGGTGAAAGTCGAGGGACCCTAAGGTGCTCTTGAGCTTGTTGTGCCATTCCCGGGGTGCTTGCTTGAGGCCATATACTGGTCAATTCAGCTTCCATACAGTGCCTGGTGGAAAAGGAGCTGGAAATCCTTCGGGCCGCTCCATGTAGATTTCCTCTCGAAGGATCCCTTGCAAAAACGCAGAAGACACATCCATGCAGTCAACCTCCATGTCATCTCGAGCGGCCACATCGAGAAGGGTGCGCAGTGTGGGAGGTTTGGCAGTGGGAGAGAATGTCTCAAAGAAGTCCAGTCCACGCTTTTGGGTAAATCCCTTGGCACAGTACCGGGCTTTGAAGACAGGAAATTCGCCTGGAAGTTGTTTCACCCGGAAAACCCATTTTCCCTTCACAATGTTGACGCCGGAGGGAGGAATGATATCTGTGAAAGTCCCTGTGTGAATGAAGGCCTCACACTCTGCGATAATGGCCCCTATCCACTGAGCGGAGTTAGGACCAGAAACTGCTTCAGCATAGGTGAGAGGTGTGGGGATGGAGGGGTTGTCTGAGAAGTTGAGGGTGGGAGATTCTGCGATATCTGGAAAGAGAGAGCAGAGCGCGTGTATGGCTGAGTCAATGTCAATCAACTCCTCATGTCTGTCCTCAAGAAGGGAGGGCATGAGCGAATAATCACCCCCGACAGGAGGAGGATTGAGAGAGACACGAATGGAAAGGGAAAGAGGCTTGGGAGCTTTGTGCGAGCGGGTGCGACCAGCGATGGGGGAGGGAGGCGGAGCTGGAGGAGGAGAAGCAGGAGGTGTAGTGGCAGCATCAGGAGCATCAGCTGAATCAGGAGCAGGAGGTGGATCAGGAGCAGGAGCGACAGCAGGAGGACGGCGTTGGTAGGTTTTGAGAGGAATGGGCTCGGGGGCGGGAAGGAGCGGGGGAGACTGCGTGGTGCTGGATGGGGAAGCGGGTGACGGGGGGTCGGAAACTGTGGAGGGAGCGGGAAGAGGAGGAGATGGAGTGGTGGCAGGAGGAAGGCTGTCAAAGTCAGCCCAAGTTAGAGAAAGAGGAGGAGAAGGAGAAACTGTGGAGGAGGGGTAGAATGGGTGGGATTCATCGAAGAAAACATCTCGGCTGCGATAGAGTTTGTTGGTGGTAGGATGGAGGAAGAGGTAGTCTGGTGAGTCCAGGTTGTGCCCGAGGTACACGCACGTGATTGTTTTCGGAGCAAGCTTGCCGCCAGCTGCACGACGGGCTTGGGAGTTGAGGAGGACATAGGAAGTGCACCCCCATACACGAAGAGGGCGGACGGACGGCTTTTGACCCGTCCATAGCTCTGCGGGGGTGGTGTGGGTGTGGTGAGGATGAGGATGGAGATTGTGGAGGGCGGCAGCATGGAGCATGGCGTATCCCCAAAGAGAGGGGGGGGCGGAAGCATGAGTGAGGAGGCAGCGAGCAATCTGCACCAGGATGCGGTTTCGGCTTTCAGCAACACCGTTCTGTTGAGGGCTGTCTGGGAGAGTGAAGGTCTGTTTGATACCCTCAGTAGAGCAGAACGCTTTGAGAGTGTTGTTGCGGAATTCACCGCCACCGTCAGAGTGAAGAAACTTGATTTTGGTTTTGAAGTGTGAATGAGCCTGCCTGGCCCATTCCATGATGATGGCAGGGGCTTCAGACTTGGCGGTGAGAAGGTGAACAGACACATAGCGGGAATAGTCATCGACGATGACAAGGAAGTAGAAGTGTCCGCCACGGGAACGAACAGGAGCTGGACCCCAAAGGTCCATGTGTACGCGATCGAGAGGTGCGGTAGAGATGGACTCAGTGGGAGGATGGGGCTGTTCCCGAAGCTTGCTCTGTGCACAGTCAAGGCAAGGCGGACCAGAAAGAGAGGGGGGTTGTGGAAGTGAGGCGGGCAGTCCATGAAGGAGTTACTTGGTGGCAAGGTCGGAAAGTGCGCGGAAGTTGATGTGGCCGAGGCGGTTATGAAATAGCATAGTCTTGTCAGTGAGGAGGCGGCAGTGACATGAGGGGGAGTCTAAGGATGGAAGCGGAAGGTTGGTGAGGGAGCATGTTTGAACGGGAGGTACAACTAGTGTGTACAGGTTGTTGGAGTTGAGGGTGAAGCGGGCAAGATGGAGTCCGGTTTTGGCGTCAAACATGTCACAGTAGTCAACATCATTGGGAAAGATGGTGATCACGCCTGCGTGTTGGATTTCCCGCTGTGCAAGAAGGTTGTAGCGGAGGGTTGGGGCACAGATGCCAGTGACTGTGCCAGATGGGAATGCTGGACAGGAAACTGTGGAGGAGCCATGGCATTGGATGGAGAAGCTAGAATCTGCTCCAAGGAG